TTAGCAGTGCTTCTAAATGTTTATTTCATTTTCAGAATGACTTTTCAGAAAATGTAATGAATATATTGTATGTATTGAAAATGAATGTGTTAACTTTAAAATACAAATGTGGTTATTTTCTTTCTGTATTTTATGTTAATATTTGTCAGCTAATTTGTGAATAAATTAATATGTTTAAAAATATTTCTTTCAGGATATATTTATCATCTGGATTAGAGTATAATCTAGAATTATTACTGTTTGGTAAGTTGTCTAATTTAATTTCTTATAGTTTCATTAATCATGTACTTATTATAGATCTAGGTAGAATAATTTATGATCAAAATCATTGCTGCACGATTAGATTGTTTTCTAAAAATTAAGTGCAATTAATTTTTGAAGCAATATATAATGCTAAATTTAAATAAATCTGAGCACGAAATTGGGTATGTTACATAGGATAACCAACATTTTTTATTATAAGCACTGTATACCATTCAGTTTATTGACTTTGATCCTAATACAAAATGGAATTTATTTTGAAGGCCTGACACCAATTCATAAAGTTGCATCAATATTTATGCTGTATTTGTCATTTATAACTCATATACTCTTATAATCATATCCAAAAATTATTTTTAATCATAACTGTATCTGAATCTTTTATTATTTTATGAAAGTAAACTAACTTCTTTTGCATCTGTTTAGATTGATACAGTACAAAGTCTGTAATCTGAACGTCCGTTATCCGGAATAATCTATAATCCGGACCTCAAAGCCATAATCTTACGCATGCGCATAAAGCAAGTAAAGTGTTTACCCATGCATGCTTCTGATAGTGAAGAAAGTAACAGAGAACATTATTGAAAATGAAAAAATTTCAATTGGCAAGTTAGTCAGTATTTTCGATGCAGCAATTACAGGACTTGAACAGCGGAACTTTGTAACTGAACAAGAAATTATGTCTGTTTATGTCTATTTATAAGAGAAAGTATTAGCACAAAAAACGAAGCAACTTAAACAACTTACATTGATAAAAATGTTTACTTAAAGTAAACAAATAAATATTAAGCTTTTTTTTTTTTTTTTTTTTTTTGTGTGTGTGTGTGTAAATTTTGATACCCTTTAGACCATAGTTGTTCTTTATTTCATAAATTACGGTTTCATATTTTTAATTGTATAATTTCTGCATGCCATTCTTACCAGATTTAAATTGATGATCTATAATCCGGAAAAACCCAGAATCACTGAAGTCCCGTCGAGTCCGGATTACAGACTTTGTACTGTATCATAAAATTATAATTTGTTGTGCATTATCATGTTTATCTCTTAAGCAGTGTTTGTCAGTATTGCCATCAAACGAAAGATTGATGATCATCAAACACAGATTAATCAATAATGGCAAAGCACAGTGGACTGTTTGCTTAAGGCAGGGATATCTTTGTGAAGGATTTTCTAAAGGAAATTGATTTGTATTTGTGTTACATATGAAGAATACAATGGGCACATGAATACAATGGTTATTTCTAAAATTTATGGACTTTCAGAAATCCACAGTGCATCAGTGTGATAATGAACAAAATCATTGACAAAATAATACAGGATGTTTATAAAGTCTCGGACCCATTTTGATGTTTAATAACTCATAAAATAATAAAGATAGATTAAAATTAATAACATAAATGGTTAGATAGTTTCATGACCCTTGTCAATGAACTTCCACGTGTGCCCCCTTCATCGGACGGAGAACATCAAGTCGATATTCAATTTCACGCCAGGTACCGACAAGCATGTCGGCATCCACAGAGGCTATTGCAGTTGTAATTCTGGCTTTTAGGTCATCAATGTTCGACATTCTCCCCCTGTAAACGTTGTCCTTTACAAATCCTCAAAGGAAAAAGTCCATAACATTGCAATAGTTGCCAAAAACAAAAGAGAGAGAAAAATGCAATTACTAAGCAGACGGTATTTAGAAAAGTACAGATATTTAGACTGGAAACTGAAATTATCTGAAATTAACCACACACGCAGACGATATTTACAAAAGTAAAGATATTCAAACCTGAAAAGGAAAATATATAAGTTATTCCATCAATAAATGCCATAAGTGTTTATATCTTCATTATTTTATGAGTTATTAAACATCAAAATGGGTCCGGGACTTTATAAACGCCCTGTGTATTTATCTTGAATTCAATAAATTAATTAACAGTTTTGTGCTGGCAGTATTAGTGCCTTGTGGTGTTCGTTTTCTGTAGCAAGATTTTGAGCCGATTTCGGTTTTGTTTGAAAGTATTCTACTTAAGGAAGTAGACTAATATGCTTTTCTCTAATAAATTACTTATCCTTTCAGATATTTTTTATGATCTGCTTTCTGCAGTTGATTATTGTTCATGTTTTATTTATAATTAGTACTCAGATTTCAGTGTGAAAAAAAATCGGAGATAAATATGGATAAATACTGACATTAAAATATGTAACTACATGAAAAGTATTTTTAATTGTTCTATATAATGGACAATTTTATGGGTTTTTTTTAGTACTAGCAAATAAATAAATCTGTGATCTAGGTTCAGTAAATAAAGATAATAAAGTTAAATATTTGCTTGTATTCATTGTGGTAATTAATAATAATAGCATCATTAGAACATGGATAACTTTAAATTCCTTATTTGCCAAGTCTCAAATGAATGCCTGTTTATGTAGGATATTAATATAATAGTTGCCTAATAATGAAAATGTAGCCCAATCTCAAGGGAGGCCTAATGAATGCCAGGAATGTAATAAACTTAGAAATCAGTTCATCACTTGTTATTCATATTAAATTTTACAAGTATGCAGTTCTGTAATAACATTGTTAAAATATTGAATTACAAGCAAGTACTATATTTAAATTATTTTCTGTGAGGCCTTTTTTCTTGTATTTATTTATTAACTAGATAAATTTTGGATAAAATCTAAAACATTAAACAAAATTTTAGTAGTAAGCACTGTAGCTTTAGAATGATAGCGTATATTATCTTTACTTTTTGTGTATAAAGTATAATTTTGCTTAAATATTTGTTCTATTCAGTTTTTTATTCTTATAAAAATTGCAGAATAAACATCTAAAATATTTTTTATTTCTTTGCAAGAATTTGATATGTAACTTAAAGCAAGCTGTGAGCTTTTTAATGATAATCTATAGCTTGGATTTTTGAATGATTATTAAGTAAACCTTTTTGATATATTTCTATATGTATGTTTATAAACTGTAGGTAGCCTGTCCCCTTTTAAAGGAACTGGCACATTAAAAGAAGAGTGTAAAAAGTATACTAAGCGAAGAGAAGTAGCAACTGAGTATGTATATAATTTTTTTTTTTTTTTAATTCCTGTTTCATGGCAATTTTACATTTCATGCCATTTTAATATTTTTAATCAAATCTTTCATGTGCACAAAATTATAATCTGTTCCTTAGACATAGCTTTGTGTCATAAAATTTCTTCATAATATGCAAATTCTGTGTAGTGGTTTTATGGAGTAATAGTAAACATCTCTAGTCTCTGTTTTTTCTTGTTACTTGTATGATTAGTGAGGACTTTTTTGATAGATAAAAAGATATTACAGTATGTGTTAGAAGATTTATTGCCTTTAACTAAAAAACCTTCATTGTAGAGAAGAGAACAAACAACTTTGGACAGTAAGATTTTTAATAATTCAGAATATTTAATAAGTAGCTTCAAATTAAATAGATTGCAGTTCATTCTGTGTTATGGAAATTCTCGGTTGAAAAAAAGTCATTAAAATTTACAACTTTGGTAAAACACTTGATTTTGATGATTTTATGTAAAAATATAAATTAAAATTAATAACATTATAGGGAAACCAAAGCTGCTATCACAGCTCGTCTTTTAATGTATAAACAATGCAGAAAAGAGAAAATGTACACAAATAAAAAAACAAAAAGTCTTAAACTTTTTTTAAAGTCATTTTCATCTCTAACACTGTAATATTGCAAACTGTTCATTTTGTAATGCATGTAGAATGTGTTTGTTTGATTTTCTTACTGAGCAGCTAGTCTTATGTATATATTTCACAGAATTAAAACTTTCATAATTTTCAGTTGAATTATACTTTTTTTGAATTATTTCTTTTAGATTATCAAGAAACATATTAATTTGTGGCGTCATAAACCTTGTACTTGCACCGGCCATTCTTATATGGCAGTTCTTATATGAGTATGTGACATATTCTGGTATTGTTCGTCATGAACCTGGCTCTTTAGGCATGAGAAAGTGGTCAGCATATTCGAAATTGTATCTTAGGCATTTTAATGAATTAGATCATGAATTGAATGCTAGGTAAGTTTTTATGCAAGTATCCATGGAAATAAATCCATAGAAATGATTTTTTTTCATTGTTAATCTATATGCCAACTTAAATATGAGTTGTATAAGCCTGGAAGACTTGAATAAAATATAAAAACTCACACTATTCTTCTTCTGTTAACACTTTTAGATATGCACTAAAGTCTTTTACGCCTGCTTCGGAATTTCTGTATTTATATAATATTTATTATTTGAATTGTTAAGGAAATAAATATTGAAGTAAATGACATGCAGTTATTTACTTTTTGTTTCATTTTATGCAAGAATAGAAGGTACTTACGTACTAACGCAACCAGGCCAAAATTCGCGTAAATCGCCAAATTTGGCGACCCTACTTACGGCAGCCGTATGTGTTATACGTAGTTTTGTAAAAAGAATTTATTTGTAAAAAGAAAAAAATAACACTCGGCGTGTACTACCACAGCAATGGGTTTTCGGCGGAATTTGCCGAGAAAAGAAAGAGACTTTTTTGGTTACTGTACCTAACAGAAGCGCCGTTACCCTCATGGAAAAAATTTGCAAAAATATCAAGGAAGGAAGCATCATTTATTCGGATTGCTGGAAAGGATACAATACAAGTGAGTTCGAAAATGCTGGATTTCTGCATGGAACTGTTAATCACAAATATAACTTTGTGGGATCCCAACACGGGCGTTTCACACACAACATGTAGAGCACATGTGGGGCTCAGCCAAATGGCGCAACAAAAAACAGAGGAACAGCACGTCATCATCTTGACTCATACCTTATCGAATTTTATATGGCGCCAAGCTCAAGCTGTTAATGACGAAGATGGTTTTCAGTCAGTGCTATAAAGCAATAGCCAAAAAGATTTCCGCCGAAAAAAAATAATTCTGCAACTTATTCAAATTCGAAACCGGAAGGGTTTAATTGCTATTTTATATTTTAAAACAAAATAATATAAAAAACTGTATTAAAAATTATCTGTAATTAATAAATGTACATTTTCTTTCTATTCATACTTTTTTACTCAAACTTACAAATCGCGCCAACCTGGTTGCGATAATACGTAAGTACCGAATAGAATAATGCAGCATTTGTTTTCTTACTCTCCAGATCGTAATGGAAAAAAAGAGAGTAAAATAGTTTTAAGTTGTATCAGATGTCACAATGAGATAAAAGCACCCATATACAGCTGAGAGGGATAAATTCTTTTTATTAATTAGTCTTTTAAGTTTACTAATTCAATAATAAATGTAGAGTGTAGTTGCAAAGTGCATGAGATTTTAAGAAACTGAACAAGTGGGTATAGGAGGCAAATTTTTTTAGTGAGTAAATATATTTAATTTCAGATTTTTACACTTAAGCTGATAGTAATAATGAGTTTATGAAAATTGTCCAATGCAACAAAATTGTGTTTTAATTATCCAGAAAATTTAGGACACTCTAATGAGTTTTGCATGAAAGTTTTCTAAACTAATGTAGCAGATTTCTTTCACTTAGCTGTAGTGCTTAGTGATAACTGATGCAGAGATTGCAGCATGTTTATATTGATTATAAATTTAAGGCACCATGAAAGAAGGCTAAGATTTTTCACGTAGTTGTGATCCTTACAGATTTTTATGCACTCCTTACTGCTGGTTGATTGTTCCAGTGAAGTGATCGTTTGCAGTGCCAAAGTGTTAGATCAGACCTCTGAAAGTACTTGTCTACTTGTGCATGGATTTTGTACCAGTTCCCTTAAAAGGTCACATTGATTGTGTAATAGTGATGGCAATGGTACCCTGTAATTGTGTAGCAGTGATAGGACATTAGCATTTCTGTATCCTCTATCTATCATTCAAAATTTTTGTAAAGTTTCAGCTGATGATTGCTGCTTTATACAAATCCGTTTCATTAGCATTGCCATAGCCAGCCGTCACAACAGCAAACCTTCCATCTCTTTTCAGCTAGAGTTAGCTGATCTATGCAATCATTATGAACTACCATGCTCTTTTACTGAATAAGAGTAATAAGAATCACACTTTTACCTGAGCTAGTGCTGTTCAAGGCTTATGCTATTGTGTTAGTATATTACTATTTGTTATTATTGTAAAACAATTTCAGAACAAAATTTGACATTTTAATTCAATTTGCATATGTTTTGTGTTATGCATATGATGCAGCAATACATATTGAAGGAAATTTTATCTAAATATCTAATTATCTGTGATTTCTTTTAGAAAAAATTATGCTTCATTACACTCATTTATTTCTCTTTATTGTTTAAAGCATATGCAAACATTTGGATCTTTTGTGTTTTACCGATTCTATCTCAGTAAGACTAGATGAGTTCAGGGAATTTATTCTACTTTAAACATGTGATGTTTTGCATATTTCGAAAGTGTGCATCATTTTTTAAAAACACATAAAATTATTGTTATCAATATGCACAGAGAGTGTTTTGTGCATTTTTGGAAGACAGTTAACAATTAATTGTGATACAAATGTTATGTTTTAAAGTACTGAGTCGGGTCCATATTTTAAATTTTAAGATCCTTTCTCATAACTACTAATCTGCATTCTGATTTCAGTGACAAGTGCACATTTAAAAATTTTATTATGGGAAATTTTTCCCCTCCTTTTATGCTGCTTTCTATAATTTGTTAGTATATGTATAGAAAGTGCCCTTTTTGACAGTTCTAAAGCACAATCCATAGGTGTCACATCAGATTCTGCTGGAATGTTCAAAGAGGATGTAGTGTACTTTAAACTAGTCTTTTTCCTATTTTTCTTAGAAATTTAGTCACATATGTTAATGTTTTTAATTTTATTTAGAAATCAGTGATTTAAAATACATTATATTTATTTCTCATTTCTTCATGTTACTATGAAAAAATATACTTTTCATGTGGAATTTTTTTTTTTTTTAAATCTTTTTTTAAACATAGTGTATTTAAGTCAGATATCTCATTTATTTAGATTAAGCAGAGCATACAAACCTGCAAGGGAATATATGAGATGCTTTTCATCCCCATTACTAGTAATAATTGCTAGGTAAGGATGTTTTTTTTTCTCTCTCCCCCTCCTTTTTAAAATTTTTTATTTATTTATTTATTTTAGTTTAATTTCAGAATATCAGACTGTTTAATTATGTGACATTTTGAGATCACATATTTTAAATATTTATGGCTGCTTGATTGGCAGGGATTAAACTTTATTAAAACTTGTAATTTTAATTCTCAAAGTAAGATGAAAAGTGTCACAGAGCAGTCGAGGGAAATTTTCAAGTGTTTCAACTGAGTGTAACTCTGTATTTCTGAAAAATCAAACTATGTTTCAATTTTTTATAAATCTATTTTATGTATTACAGTGTATTCCAGCATATAACAGACACCTTTAATACAAAAAATAAGATCAAAAGTTACATGTGTGCATTATACGCCAAATGTAAAAATGATAGATTTAAAAGTAAGGAAAAGATCAGCATACAAAAATTATATTTCTACATTTTACCTGAATGCTATTTGTTTAAAAAGAAATGACATACCTCATGAAAAATTTTCAATAACGAATAACATGAAAGTTTGTCGTATTCATCTTTCATTATATCTTCAGCATTGAATTCTGTTTCATCATTACCATTAGGTTGAGAGATACTGCTATGATTGAAAAATAAATAATCATCATCTCTTCCATAAATACTACATTTTAAAATTACTTCTGAATTATGTCACATTTAATTTCATTATCCTTACACACTGTATTTCTTGAGTGGCATGATGCATGTGCATCCTTTTGTAAATGTTTTTTCACCTTCTAACATTCACATATTTCACTGTTTTTTTTAATTTTCTGCGAGTATTTTATTGATACACATAACTAAAGGCTGAACTAATGGTATTAATCCACCTGGAATAACAGCCTGTCTGTATTGCACTTTTTCAACAATTTCTTTAAATTATGAACATGTCCAAAACTAAGAGACTTTCTGGATTAAAGAATCCATAAATATGCTTTTGCCAAATATTTCTTATTCACAGTTATGCAAAGTTTTCATCTATCCATTCTTTCACATGTACATAAATGAAAATACTATTTGAAATTACATTTTTGTGCTGTCTTTCTTTTAAAAATAATTATGGGTTTTAATTATTTCACTGTCAGAAAGAACTACAAGGAAGTGAGATTTTTCAACGTGTGTTGCTTTAAGTTAACCGTTTTTATGTTCTTCACATCAATCACACAGATACTGTCTCCTGTATCACTTGCCAATTCAGTTTACCATTGTTTGAAAGCTTAGAAAAATTCTTTGAGCAAATGACTTGGAAAAATAAGAGCATCACTTGTGCAACTTTCATATTTCCTCATAAAGAAAAGGATGTGCATTGTATGGTGAAAGTGTGATGTGCATAGTATATAAACTACAAACTGTAGTTTGAAATTATAAGTGCACATTATACGCCGGAATTTATGGTATGTCAAATCACTTTAGAGTAATATTTTATAACAGGGTTGCCACATTACATGGAAAACATGAAAAATCAGGAAAAGTCAAAGAATTGAAATATTTTAGTCAAAATCTGAAAAAGTTGGGGAATTTCATACTGCAATCACCCCCAAAGAGCGATTTTTGCGCCAACGTCGGTAGCGATATCTTTCTTGGCGAATCATGTGTCATTCGGACAGCTGGCGTGAAGTTAGTTTTCACAGAACCAATCAGAATGTCATTTAGAAAAACAAAGCAAGTTTCTAGCATCATTGGTTACCAGTAACCTCAAAAATCCAGAGATTCGCGTATGCAGTGCATGTTGAGCGAAAGTAAATCCTCCTTCCCCCAATTCTCATATAAAACAAAATCTTGTAAACCTTTTCTTCTTTCTTAAATGCCATATTTGTCACTATGCTGTAAAATAAAGTAATAATAATTATGATCAGTCATCTAGGCCAATCATTTACTATATATATTCACCGAAATACCGTCGATTTTTGTAATTCAGTTTTTAATCCATAAGTAATCTATATTAATCTTATTCATACCATTTAATGTGTCTTCTTCCTTCTAAATTTATTTATTATTGGTTAGTAATACTTTTAAATTTCAGGCAGTTTTCTCTGGCATACTTGTGAAACTAATTCTAGCAGTAATATGACAGACCATCACAAAATTTAGTGCACATATTTTTTACGTATGTATGCTGCTAAATAATTTTTTAATAAATTTATTTTAAAATATCATGTTATAAGATATAAATAACCCTGTTATAACCTGGTGTCCTCATGGATAATTTAAGACAAAATTAATTCTTTTTTATATTGCATAGAAGGAAACTGTGATGCAGGATAATTACAATATGTATATAAAAAATCTGATGTGTACACCACATGACTTCCTTGTATGGAATATTAAATTATATACAATTTTTTCCCGCATTTTATTTAAACTTATTGAATTCTATTGGGTTGTTCGGAAAGTAATTTCGTTTTTTTGGGGGAACATGAAAGACAATTTTTGTATAATGAATAAATATTTTATTAAATTATATATTGGCCATTCTGGTCCAACACCTTTTGCCATCTTTCTGGCAGTAACATGATTCCCCGCTCATAAAAGTTTTGGTCCTTGCTGGCAAAAAACTGATTCAGGTGGTTTTTGACATCTTCATTTGAGGTAAAGGTTTTACCATTTGAGGTAAAAGCTAAAAAAAAAAAAAAGATTCCTTTGAAATCCCACCAAACAGACAGCATCACCTTTTTTTGGTGAATGTTGGCTTTTGAAACGCTTTGAGCCGGTTCATCTTTTCTGCTTTATGACCTCTTGCGTTTCACATTGTTGTATACGACCCATTTTTCGTCCCCAGTAATAATCCGCTTCAAAAATGGATCATTTTCCTGACGTTTGAGGAGCGAATCACACACGTCAACGCGACAACACAAATTTCGCTCCGTAAGAACATGGGGCACCCACACATCGAGCTTCGAGGTTATCCCAGGCCTTTCAGTGGCCATAAACAGTCGAATTCGACAAATTTAAACTCTCACCGATCTCTCGTGTGGTTATTCGCCGATTTTGCATCAACTAATGCTTTATCGCATCTTTGTCAGCTTTGGCCGGCCTTTCCAGACCGTGGTGCCATCTTCGACATCAAAATTGCCGGATCGAAACTTTGCAAACCAGTTCTGGCACTGGCGTACTATTAACACGCCTTCTCCATACACATCCGTCAATTTTTTTTTCGCTTGGACAGCATTTTTACCTTTTCTAAAGTAAAAAAGTAAAATATGACGAAAATGCTGCTTATTGCTCTCCATATTTAAAAGGGCACCAACCAAAAACTACTGCGTAGAATTAATAGAACTTTTTCACACACAAGCCTTGTAATATCAGCTCTCAAGATATATAATGGTTATGCAGCTTAAGTGTGAAGTTGGTTTCAAAAAAATGTAATTAAGTCTTCTGACGGGAAAAAATGAAATTACTTTCCGAACAACCCCAATACTTCATCGATAGCACATAAACCTCAATAGAATAAATGCACTCTTTAAAATTCATTATATTGATTTACCATGGAGATGCTGTGGCGGTAGTTTCACTTAACAGTGTTACATTTCATTCATTTTATAACTCAGAATGCACAAAAGTTATATCATCTGAAGAATATCTAATTGTTGCCATGTTCTATTTGAGTACTGTAATAAATCTAAAACAATGTATAAAAGAAATTAAACAAATAAAAAGGAAACAGTTTTTCACAGATGATTCAGCGCCACTTGTCTAATGCACCACTTGTCTAATGCGCTACTCGTAAACATTCTCCTCTGCTCACTCAGACTGGCAATGATATTTGCTGCTAATATGAAGCACTTATTCCCTCGAATCTCATTAAAGATTTATTTCTCATTCAATTAATTCAGTTCTCACTTCACGGCTAAGCAAAAATATTTAAAAACTCAAAATATTTAAATTGAAAGATATAGAAAAACATAAAATACCAAATACAGTTAAAACTTTTTTTTTCAATTAAAATTAGTATTTCTGCACAAAAACAAGCAATTCAGCTAGCAGGCAAAAAGGCAGATTTTTCGGTGCACAAAGCTAGAAGTTTCCTTTTGGTCCCACTCTGCACAAAGACACTGAAGGTGTAGAAACTGACTTAATTTGTTGTGGACTTTATGCTGAGTCGGTATATGGATAATTTAATAATGTAAATGATTATTCCAGAATGGTGTAGAGATATCAGGTATTATTTTAAAGCTGGAGAGATGAAAAATTAAGCAACGCCTTCACTGTGACTCGAACCACGAATCTCTCGAATATGCATCGAGCGTGCTGACCACTACACTACGAAGGCATGCTAAGATGACTGAAGAAATACCTTATATACCCCCCTTTTTAAAAGGCAACTTGAGATTAGGGGACCCAGTCGCCATATTCTGGGGTGAAGAGAATCATCATCCACCACCCTTTTAGTTGGGGCACCCACTGACATTAAGTGTTTTTGAAAGCAGGAGAGAGGAAAAATGAGCAATGGTTTTGCCGGGACTCAACCACGGGCCTCTCGAATACACATTGAGTGTGCTGACCACTACAGTACAAAAGCAGGAGGAATACCTGATAATGGATTAAGCATGATTTAGTTTGCAATAATAAAAGAAGACGTTATCTTTGTTGTTGCGAAGCTTAGTTTGGCAACAAAGCCACTATTCTGCTAAGTTTCAAATGTAAACAAATATGGCTGTTGTGGTTTAAAAAAAATTAGGCTTAATCACACTTAAACAGCTTTTAAATTGTTAATAATTCTACAGCTATAACATGCAGGTTAACTAAGAGCATAAAAACCTTAACCAGAAGATAAGAACAACATAATTCAATCATTTGCAAAGGGAAAAAGGCACAATTTATGAACATATAAGAATAAAAAAAAACTGAGCACATGGAGCTGAGTAACGGAGTGGATATATATATATATTTATATACTTTTGGTGTGCCCAATTGCAGCCAAAAAGGGAGGTGCACATCTACATTCCACAAACAAAATTTCAATGTTCTAAGGCTATTCCTTTTTGATTTATGCGAGATACATACATGTGCATATGTACATACAAATGCCACAAATTCTGAATTCATTTTAAATCAGTTTTATTATTAGTTTGGGGAAAAAGAGTCCTTTATTCTGTCCATTTGTACAGTTAATCATGCAAAAATATTGTTAAATTCCATTTAGCAGCACTCAGAATGGATATTTTTGTTGCAGTATGGTACCAGAATTTTTCATGGTTATAATACTTTCTATACTTCATACAAAAAAAAAAAAAAAAGGAAATCTGAAAGCCTTCAAATTTTATATTACATCCTAAGGGGCATTTTTTTAACGTTTTGTGTGTTAACTCTATTTATTAAATATCATGTTCTTCGTACTTAAACCATAAAATTCAGTCCAACAGCAATATCGCAAAATATTCAAAAGAGTATATCTTTAGAATTTATGATACACAGTCTCGTGTGCTGGAGATATAAATGTTCTTTTTTTTCCTGTACAGTGTTATCATTTCTCGCTTTGAAATCGTGTTTCTTAATAAAAAACTCATAAATGCTTTACAAAATATTATATAGATAATAAAACAAATTTCAAATTCGGGCTTCCAGATGCCCATATTTGGGTGGATATGTACATTATTAAAAATCTGGTGAATCTAGGTGCTGTTGTTTATCACAATGTGAGAAATGAAGAATATTATTTAATTTCTTTAAATATAATACAGGGTGATAATATTTGGTGGCAACAATTTCAAAAGTGATCCGACATTTATAGTGAATCGACGCATAATGTCAAAATGCAATTAATAGCCCTTCTGGGCTAACTCTTCTTTGGGTTAATAAATCATCAGCAACATTTGTGTAGTTTAATAGAAAATAGATTGCATCAATAAAAGAAAATTCGTTGATTATATTAGAGGTATATTAAAACTTCGGTACTTTTCTGTTTGGCCTGCCCAAAACTCGCCAAGCAGACTTTGTTGGCAACAGCATTCAGCATGCACATAAAAAATGTTAACAAATGTTAGTTCTAAGAATTTTTTTAATTTGAAAGCATAAACATTTTAATATGGTTTTAACATTTTGTAAAAAGCCAATAAATAAAGGCAATAAATTTGTAAAAAGACATCAATTTAAGAATTAACTATGCTTTCGTGGTTCAACATCCTGATTCGCCGGTTCGTATCACGTGACCCCAAATGATCTCATCTCACGTAAACTATGCTGCAAAAATCTAATTCTCTCAGTAATTATCTACATTAATTTCAAGTTAAATCTCAATTTGGTACAAGTTTAAATACGAGAATTATTTCAATTCGTACAAATGGCTTACTCAGAAATTACCTAAAACCGCAGTGCTTTGCTAGTGTATTCTCGTTAGAGAATTGGTTTGCGCCGGCAAAACGGAAAAGTACCAAAACTTCTTTTACTTTCTATGTGATATATCTTTCACTGGATGCTGGAAATAATAAAAAATAAACAAAAAGGAAATAATAATGTTATAACACAAACGGTTATCTTTTCTGTTATGCAACGTGCCACTAATTTAAACCAGGGGTTCCCAACCTTTTTCTTGCATCAATTCTTTTCAAAAGAATGGTTTTCTTCATTGACCCCTTTTAAATTTTCTCTATAATATACAGTATATTCATGACACAAATAATTGCACAAAAATAACTTAAAGGTAACAGATTAAGGATATGAAAAAAACTTTTGAAAAAAAAAAAGCTTTAGTTTTAAGTTTTATTATTTCTCGTGCTATTGTTATCAGAGTTGCCAACTCTCCCGCTTTTTGACCGCTCTTCCGCCAACCCGATTTATAATATATTTCTCCCGACTTTTTCTTATTCTTAAAATTTCTCACTTTTATGGAACTTGGCTTAATACTTCGTTATATGAACAAAAAAAAAAAAAAAGTGATTTTGCGCGTCTAAAAGCAATTGAATTTTCTCTGGATTATATCTAAAACAAAACCTTGCGAATCAGATGAGAATTTCTGCTTTGTGAGTGAGAGCATACGTATCCAGAAATGTCATTCTCCAGTTCTCCAATGGGCATTGAGCTCCACTGCATGTCATCTGGCATATATTAGCCAATGAGCACAAAGCAAGCTCAAGACTGTTATTTAGATGCTCTTTAGTTATTTCATTCATCTTGTCCTGAGTTGTGTGAGTACACGTGCCTTCGGGAAATACTTTTAGAAATTATCATCTTTTGTTATGTCTGCAAGAAAGGTGAAATACTCGTGTACGTTTCAAAAATCGGACACATTTGACTTTCCTTCCATTATCTCCTCAAAGAAATGTAATAAATTTGCGATGTGTACCATCTGTCGTTGCGATTTTTCGATTTCGTATGGTGGAAGGGCGGATGTTCTCAAACATGTGCGTAGACAAAAACACAAGGACAACATGAGTTGTTTCAAAAAAAAAATTTTTTTTTTCTTTGGAAACAAAGGACCAAAAGGTTATTAAGGCAGAATGTCTGTTCTCTGCCTTTTTACTGGAGCACAACCTGCCACTGAATGCATCGGATCATGCTACAGCTTTATTTAGAAAAATGTTTCCCGATAGTAAAATCGCTAAGAAAGACTGAAATGCAAGGACCAAAACAGGTGCAATTGTTAAGGAAATGGGTTTGAAAAATATATAGAATTTCGTTTTGTAATTCTATATATGATGTGATTTATGGTGAAATAGAAAATCAGAAGGAAGATGAAGATTTGGTAATAGGAGCTCGTAGTAGTAGTGAAAGAACTTTCATAAGACAAATATAAGTTGATATATTGCAGTCACAATTTTGCAGTTTACAATTAGAAAACTTGGATGAAGTTATAAAATCAGCTAGTATTGACACCTAGTGGAGTTAAATTGGAAAACTGAAAGGTGATGATGGAATTTTTAAATGTAGTGAACTGTCTAGAATTATTTTGGCCATCTTGACAGTTCCCCATAGTAATGCGGAGTGTGAGAGTATTTTCAGTGTTGTTGCAAAAACGAGGACTAAATTTAGATCTAATATTAGTAATGACACATTAGAAAAACTTTTATTAACGAAAGCAGGCCTACGTGGCAATTGCTATGAACAAAATTACGAAGTTTCTTTCATAACGAAAGCAAAATCTGCCACTGTTCATAACATTTGTACAAAAAATGATTGAAGTGCCCCTCCCCCTTTTTTTTTTGTTGCTTTCTTAAATATTTGTTTTCTTAAATGATGCAAGTAATAAAAATGTTTTTTATGTGTAAGATATTTTTGTGTCGCTTGCCTTTAAGAATTAGTAGCTATTTAAAGTTAATTCATTATTAAAAACTATATTTTTATCATTTAAAAAGTCTTTTTAACATTGTGAAAAATCTCCTGATTTCTTAAAAAATTCTTCTGATTTTTGAGTGTCATAGGTTGGCAAGTGTGTGTTATTTTTAATTTTACAAACATAAATAAATTTTAGAAACAGAATCATAGATTTTAATTGCACAAGCATTAGATGATTATTTATTTGATGGTTGCACTTGATGTATTGAAGCAAATTTTTTAATATTTGTCATAAAATTGCTTAACTTGATTAATTTATAATATCAGATGTTTTTATTAATTTTAGCTGAAATGAATATAAGCTTACCATGATTTAAATGAATATTAAAATGTTTTTGTATATTTGGAATATAATGTCGAACTTATCTTGCATAATGTGTTTGTTTTACAGTAATTTTATAAGAATGTAAAAAATGTACAATTTTTAGTTACAGTAGTTCAAATAAGAGAACATTATATTTTAAATCCATTTGGATATAGTTTTAAATGCATATACTCAATTTTTATGCATTAAGTGTGTGTATCAGTGTATTCTTGTACTTGTATACCTCGTAATAAATGATTAAGTGTTATATTTATTTTTCTACTGTGTACTGTCACAGATTTAAAAAAAAAAAAAAAAAAAAAAAAAAAAAAAAAAATTAAGTTTTTATCTTTCTTTCTTTTCTTATAGAGGTCTTGCTCAAATAACAGGATCTGTGGTTGTTTGCTTAATAATTTGGGGTCTTGTGAAAGAAAAAATATTGCTGTTTAATTTTGTGATAATGTTAATTGGATTTGGAACAATCCTTTTCATGTGCTTGTCATCTTTTGTGCCTGATGAGGTAAGATAATGTATTTATAAACAGAAATGATAAACATATATATATATATAGATATATATATATTTAAATCTGTGATGCTCTAAAAATAGCTCTCTCTCTGGAGATTTTGACTGGCTTAAAAATTTCTTAAACCCTTATTATCCTAATAAATTTCTGTTACTATACAATATACTTATTAGGAATTCTAATAGGAAATTTGGTGTAAACAAAAATATCATTATTGAAAGAAAGAGTTTGAGACTTAGCAAATCAAGATTTGATCCTACACTTGCATTTACTGAAAGTTTCATTAAGTAAGAGGCAAATTATAATCATGTCTTACTTGAAGAAAAGAAGAAAAAGAAAGAAAACTTCCATGAATCATGGAAATTATTAATTTGTAAAAAGAAATATGTGCAGGTCTTAAAATATAGCAATATTTTAAACGAATTCACAGCTTTGCAGCTTTTATATCGTACATTGGATTGCAAGAAAGACATTAGCAGTAAAATAATTTGCTTTAGAGAGTTACCTTTTCTGAAGCTGCTATAGGCATAACTTGCTTTGAGTTGAAGTTGTGTAGTGAATTCTAACTGTGCAAAAATACTTGCTCAGAGCCTTTTTTTCCTCCTCTGAAAACAAGATCTGATGTAACAAATCCTAAGCTGAAATATTTTATTTCTGAAGCTTTAAAATTTCACACACCTTTTTCAGATTGCTACATTTTTTTTTTTTTTTTTTTCCTTTCCTCACAGTTATATGCTTGATAAGTGTTCCTTAGCTATTCTAACCGAATTCATTAGCTGTTTATCCATCTCATCTCTGAGATTACTGCTCATAAGTAACCATTCAAGATGCTTTTTAAGCATTTATTAGCAATTATGACTGAATTTTATTGGCCACTTACTCATTCTGTCACTAAGATCATTGTCCACGTGTGACTGTTAATGAACTGATAAGGAAAAGGGGGATAGCATACAACTTTAGATGTGGTACATTAAAATTAAAATAAAATACCTATCTATTTCCGACAAATAGGTCTGAATCTTGTTAAGCTAACAGAAAGATCTTTTAATAAGGTTGATGTTTGAAAGATCAAACTTAGTTTTCTTATTTATTTATTTGTTTATATTGAAAGCATTGTCACCCTATAACAAATTAAAGACATCTGTTCTCTGTGCTCTTGGAATATAACAGTTAACATGAATTATTTAAATCAGAGATATGTATTCAGCTATGAACCTAGTTAACTTAATTTTTCAAGGTTTCTTGCTAAGTGAACTACTGTCTGCACAACTGCAATCAGAACTGAAAATGATAGACAATAATTTTTCACAAACTTTGGATTGATTGCTTGAGCCTGTTCTTTAGTTAGTATAGAAATAAGAAATTAAAAACAGTCCTTTTTGTGTTATTGTGGCATAATAGTTAGTATATTTAATTGATTAATTTTGAGATCCCATGTTTGATTCCAAGCAAGCAGTGAATTAATAAAAAATTCCCATTTTTAAATTTTAAATCAAATTCTGAAACATATAAAAAAAATGTAGTGGATAATGATTTTTTCCCCCTTCTTCCAAATTAAATCTCAAGACATTTATGTAGAAGTACTGAAACTTTCAACATGCTGTGTATTATGCTGCAGAGTAAAGTATTAAGCTGTTATTTAGCAAACAGCAAGTTCATCCCTCCATATATTTGTACAGTACAAAGTCCGTAATCCGGACTCGTTGAGACTTCGGCGATTCCGGATTAAGGGTTTTTCCAGATTATAGATCATCAATTTAAATCTGGTAAGATGGCATGCAGAAATTAAACAATTAAAAATATGAAACCATAATTTATGAAATAAAGAGCAGTTATGATCTAAAGGGTATCAAATAAAAAAAAAAAAAAAAAAAAAAAAAAAAGCTTAATAAGCGCCAAGAATAATTCACTTGGTGAATTTCTCAATTTATAGCAACCTATTTTCCTTTCCTGTTTTTTGCTGCACATGAGTAAAAAACGGCCATCGTTTATATTATCAGATAATTTAAACAAAGTGCATAAACCACATTTGGTGTTATTGTTGCTTATAACAAATATGCCAAATTTCTAAACATGCCAGTATGTAAAGTCTTGTATATCTTAGGAAATTTTGAATAAAAAACTCTTAATTTTTTACTTGGTATGCTTAGAAATACATCTACTTTAAGATGATGGTAAAAATTTTATGGGTTATAATTCAAAATTGTTTCAAAAAATTTATAAAAATGATTTAAAAATAAATCTTAAAAAAGGGAGAAATATATTTGGATTAAGCATAAATTTTGAATTCTGGAAGAAGAAATCAAGTAAGTGTAATAAAAAAAAGAGATTAATGAATATATGTCATATTCAATTAACATTGAGGAGCTAATTTTTTATAAATCTACCTGTGCGATTTTTACAGAACTGGGCAGTTTGAATTGTAGAATTGAAATATGGAAAAAAAATTGCATGTCATTTTAGAAAAAGTCCAGTTTTTTGGTCAAAATATGTATATCAAAACAATGCTATGTATAAATTTAATACATATCCTAAGTTGAGCTTTCAAGACATAAAAAACACAAGTTAAATTTCATTGATCGGCTTAGTAGTACAGGAGATATAGAACTGTGCCCCCCCTTTTTGTGCAGTTTACAATGGTGAGATTGAAGATTTTTAAGTGCTTTCATCATTTAAAAAAAGAGTGAGAATCCTTTGGTTGACTGTGTCTGCACAAACTGAAGAAAACATCAGTTTTGTTTTGTGATGTGTTCACCATGGTTGTCATATTGTTGAGGACATAACTATGGTTACTTGCTTATCAAAGATTTACTAGTGCATTTTAGTGGAAGATCTTAACACCATTTAAACAAACATATTACTTATGTTAGCACATTTTCCGTTATCTTTGGCCCCCTTCCTCTACGGGAAAAAAAGGGGGGTTCATGGATGCAAAATATAATTTGCTTAAATGTTAGCTTAAAAAAATTAATGTTGCTGTAAGAAATTTTAATATGGCCCCCTTCCTTCATAGGAAGAAAGGAAGCATTTCGTGAATGTAAATATGATTAGCTTAAAATGTTATGCTTAAATGTTAGCTTAAAAAAATTAACATTATTGTAAGAAGTTTTAATATTATATTTCAGTAATAATTTTTTGAAAATTTACATAGTGTTTTATGCCATTTAATATAATTTATTATTATTATTCTTTGTTATATAAAAGTTTTCTTCAAGACTATTATCTGTTTCATAATTTCTACTGTGTAATGCTCAGATTTGCTGCTGTGCTCATTTTCAGTATTCATTTCATCTTTATCTTTGCTCAGCTCAAATTTTTCATTACATTTATCAATAGTTGATGAGTTTCTTCATTAGTTAAGCTTCTGTATTTTGTGTGTAAGATATTGGAGATGTATGTGTGTAAGATATGGAGAAGCAGATAGTTATTTTCTTCATGACTATGCACATATCTTTAATCATCATGAAAAGATTTTGCCATAAATGGTACTGAAGTGCTTCCATATTTATCCTGTTATTCATCTGAGTTAAGTCCTTACAATTTTTACTCCATTCCACTGATGAAACAAAATCTGCAAAGAAATTTATGTTAAGCGATCGAGTAAAAGAAGATCAAAGCATTAATTAAAAGTAACATTAAGAATGGTTGGAAAAAGCTGGCCTAAAGCAGTGCTTCTAGAAGCTGTATAAATGCTAGCAGGAATTTATCATCATACAATGGAATTATTTTGAAAGTGTCTCTGTATACATATATATATATATATCAGAGATAACTTTTTTCTTTAAAATGTATCGGGATCTAATTAAAATCTTGGTATTTAATACATTTACACTTGTGTGTTTTTTATTAAGTTACGATGGGGAAGAGGGTGTTGAACCAATGTGATATTTTATTAATCATATTTATTAACTGAAAAGCAGCAACAGAAGAAGTACAGTAATGATAAGATAATTTTATTATCTTATCATTAATCTGATATCTTTGCCTGCTTGTCTCCAGTCAAACATTCATAATTTGGTGTGTAGCAAACAAAGGTAAATGATTGTGAATCTTCAGTAAGGGAATTAGTAAATATTAAACAATGATAGTTGCCATTAGCATTAAATATGAAAAGCTGATTCACATAAGCATGTAGATCTAAAAAAAGAGTTTTGCTACATGCATATTTTGCTATATAAATGCATATGTACATATATACCAAAACAATATATTCACTATGTTTAGTCATATTCGGATACTTTTCTTGATTGATGTATTTCTTAAAATTTTCATGAAGTTCTCTTGTTTGTAAGGTGGGATCAGTTTGGAGTGTTATGATTTCATTTTCTATTCCCCCTCCCATTGTTAAATGTGTAAAAACATTTTGAGGTGCTATGTTTTGCATATAAATCCTTTTTAAAATAAAAAGACAGATAACTATCCAACAACATTTTCATAATCAACAAGTCTGACCTCATAATCTTTAGCCACTCTTCATAAATTCTGCAACATATTTTTCAGTGCTATAATTATAATTTTGATGTTTTTGTAGGTGATTGGGCATATTTGGAAAGTAATTCAAACTGTATTATAGAAGATATGTTAGCATATTAAATTCTGTTTTGTATATGTTAATGCTTCTAATAATTTCAGTTCGGGCACAGCCCGCGAAAAACCGCTGAACACTGGTAGTTCGGACCAATTTTCGAATCCAGACGAACAAGCCGGCACCATGATTGTTCTCGTGATTTTCCGCATGTGTAATGTGTATGCAGTATCTTGTGGATGAATATGTGAATAAAGCTGGCGCAGCCCGTGAAAAACCGCTGAAAACTGGTAGTTTGGTCCGACTTTCGATCCCGGTGAGCGGGCTGACTGCATGGGTGTTTTCATGATTTTCCGCATGTGTAATGTTTATGCAGTATCTTTTTGATGGATACGCGAAAAAAGCGGGCGCAGCCCGGGTAAAATCGCTGAACACTGGTAGTTCGGACCAACTTTCAAATAAAGGCGGACGGGCTGGCTCTATGGGTGTTTTCGTGATTTTCCGCATGTGTGTCATGTGTGCAGTATATTGTGGATGCATACTTCAATAAAGTGTGCGCAGCCCACTCAAAACCGCTGGACACTGGTAGTTCGTTCCAACTTTCGAATCCCGGGCAGCGGGCTGGGTGCATGGGGGTTTTCATGATTCTTTGCATGTGTATCGTGTATGCAGTATCTTTAAGATGCATGCATGAATAAAGCGGACGCAGCCCTCGCAAAACCACTCTAAACACTGGCAGTTCGGTCCAACTTTCGAATACCGGCGAAATTACAATGGGAACTCATGAACAATGAAAAGCGGGCTTGCCCGCTAGTGCTTCTAATAATTTCAGTTGTTGTCTTGTTTTTCATCCTTGCAATTCTAAATTTTAATTACTTAATTTTGATGTAAAATCTATAAGAAACATGAACCACTAAGCCAAGGTTCCTTATTTAAATTTGCACTATCTTCATCCTTACTGTTCAGGAAAATTATTTTTCTTGCTTAAAAATTCCCCAAATTTTGCAGAAATTTGCATCTATACTTAGCCACCTTACATGAGTTGTAATAATAATTCTGGCTGTCTTTCTTAAAGTTGCAATTGGAAGGAATACCATTTAAAAAAAAAAAAAAAAAAAAAAAAAAACTTTCTTTAATAGAATTAGTAATTGTAAATGCTGTGTTCATTATTTCTTTTGTATTTAATCTTTTGCTGCCTGACACTTGTTGGTAAATTATGTAGTGTTAGCTCACAAACTTTGGAATGTCATCATTTTGACATTTGAGTTATAAATCATTTTGTGTTTTCTATTATTGCTACTGCTCCATCTTGATGTTATGAAACTAATTTAAAAGAGGTAGTTTGAAATCAGTGAAGAGGTTTTTAAAGCTACACCTTTAGCTTCCTCCCCTGAGAAATCATAACCAACAATTCTTCTTTACAATTTTTAAAAACCCTATGAATAAAAATAAACAATTGTGCTGTATCACTAAAATGTGTTAATTTGTCAAATTGAAAGGGGGGGAAAGTATCTGTTAATGTTGTTATATATCTGTGTTCTTATATTTTTACTTATTTACTTTCAAGATAGCTGCAGATCTGTATTTGCAGCAATTCCACTTTTGTTCCTAAAATTATTAAAAAGAGAATCTGACATTTTGAAGAAATTTTCTTTTGTAAATTCCTTGTTGGAAAACGGTATACTTTGTACGGAAAATGGTATATTTTTGCTAACATATGGCTTACTTTGAATAATGCCCTAGTCATGATACATTATTTCAGTAGGTCATCGTTATTTCAAAAACTTTAAGCCCAGATTGGCAGAACAGCCTTAATTTTACTTATCTGACCTTTCTCTCTGTTTTAATACATCCATTTTGAGTGTGAATTTGTTGAACTTTTAATTCATCTTTAAAATGCCTACTTTTATTTTTTCTCATTTTGTGGATAAACTGTGTGATATTTGTTATGTAGAGGTCAAAAATGCCTCTTTAGATTACCCTTTTTATTAACAGCTGCAAAAACATCACATATTACTGTAACATTTATCACTCATCATTATAAAGAAGTGATCAATTTTCTGTTTCTACATGAAAATGATAATTCTATTAGGGTTAGGCTTGCTACATAATTTAATGGGTTATTTTAATGAACTTATTTTTGATTTGCACAGCTATATTTGAAAGATGTTAATACTTATAGACCAATGGATTTTTAGATAAATTTCTGTAATTAAGTTTGTTCATAATGAATATCATATTCAATGTGTGTGTACTTTCCTCTTCTCTTAAAGTAATGGAAGATTGTATTTTTGAATTATTTTATCTTTTATATATTTAAAAAAAAGTGCTAACGGTATATTGCATTTTCAGAATGCAGTATTCCTACCTAATCAGCTGATGCAAAAGATGATAGCAGATGTTCATTATGTGCCAGATCACTTCAAAAAATTGGCTCATACGTCCATTGTTAGAGATGAATTAAGTCATCTTTTCCAATATAAATTTGTAAGTGTAAATCTGTTAATAATTTTTCTTTGTTCAAATTTAGGTAAGTAAATTTTTTCTCACATTTTATTGATATTCTGAATACTGACATACAAATAATTTCCTTTATCTCTTAAAAGATGATTGATCTATTTTATGAGTACAGATTTTCGTAATAAATATGAGTTATGTCTTTTATGTGTATACTGTTAATTTAACCTATTTTGCAGCAGGATTTACTGTTTAGAGTAATGGAGTTTCTTAAATTTAAGTTTAAATGTTGGTTTTATTTTTTTTAAAGTTATATATCCATGTGTTATATTTAATTTACAAAAAATATTTTTATTTGCAGACCTATCTTTTAGAAGAATTGTTTAGTCCTTTAATTACTCCTTATATACTTATATTTCATCTGCGACATAGAGCTTTAGATATTGTGGACTTTTTTCGAAGTTTTACTGTGGATGTTGCAGGAGTTGGGGATGTTTGTTCATTTTCCTTAATGGATGTAACAAAACATGGCAATCACAATGTAAGTTTCTGATTTTTGTTGTTAGTATATTGTATCATTTTAATTTTGTAAATTTGATTAGGATGGTAAAGGTTTAAATAAGAATATTTATGTGTCTATGTGTGAATAGAATATTAAGAGTTTTTTTATCGAAATATTGTTTCTATATGTGTAAATTGATTTAGAAGTAGTTAGGATCCTGAATTGTGCTCCCCAGTAGTATTGAGAAAGAAATTGATTGCATCAAGAGAAAGAAAATTTTCTTCAAAGATATATCATTAAAACATAAACAGATAGAGGATGAAATGGAGACTAGTGGGAGCATTGATTTGCTTACTGAAACAAGAAAGATACTAAAGAGAAGAAAATTGATGTAAATTAGCTAAAATATCTTGAAAATTTCTGAATTAAAGAGATGAATAACTATTTAATTATATGTTTTTGCTACGAAGCATACATATTTTATAGCTTTTTTCATGTAATTATCATAATATTTTTATAGAATCAATATCATAAAGTACATGCTTAATTATCTATATTTCAAATTGTAAAATGTTCTTAAATTTTGACTTGACTAGTGTTTCTTAACAGGTATTTTTTAGAAATTACGTAAATATATAATCACTCGGGAAACTATGTATATAAGCATTTGCAGTTAATTGCTCACCCTTAGACGTTTTCTCTGCGTGTTAAGATGAGTTATTGTTTTTCCTTAATCCTTACTGTGGATGTAAGATACAGCACAAAAGTGTAAAAAATAACTTAAACTTTATTCCTTACAGTTAATGATACTTAAATAATATAAAACAGCTTACCACATCTGGTGCTTCAATGGCTTATTTGAACTGTATCTTAACTGAATTTAATTAACACAACAACTGTACGTGAAGCTATATACTTACTGGGTCAGACAAATGAAGTACGTTTAACTTTCAACATATATCAATCTTGTCAGTGATGTGTTCATATCTATTCAGATCAGTGCCCCTTTCTCTCTCTCTTAGCAAGTAGCAATGGTGGCAACAGCCAAGCTTCTGTTACGAATCATGCTGGTTATGATTTTACTTCTCATTTTAATCTGTGCCTCTTGACATAAAATTCGCATAAACTTCTGGACTGAACTAGTATCTGACGCAACGAGGGATTTAAAAAAGGGGGAAAAATCAACATTAAATTAGTTGTTAGTAAAACTGAAATGTCACTTATTAAAAATGTAGGATTATAATAAGTGTAAAACATTAAGTATAAATTTTGGAGGAATTTTGTAATTTAATGCTAATTACTTTGATAAATATTACAAAGTTAATTTTATTCTCAAATTTGTTTAAATATTACAAATTTAATTTTGTTCTCGAATTTGTTTTGTAGCTATATTAAGTGTTAAATTATGTTTAATAATAATGAGTCCTACTTTTAGACTTATTTTATTCTTAGAATGAATGGTATTACAAAAATGAAGTTCAGGTACAGATAATAGCTTTAGTTTATTGATTTCCCTTTGCTGATAGGTCCTGAATTTTTTTTTCATTAATTATCCTTAAATTACTTAATTTTTGTGTGCAGAAATGCATACAAAACCCTGAAGAAGTTTGAATGCGAAAATTAGCAATACAGAATTTTAAAAATTCATTTTTTCTTCATGTATCTTGGAAAAAAAAATTCATTTTATTGTATTTCATAGCTATTACATTTTCTTACAAGTCATAATTGATTTGGCAGTCCCTGCATTATGTTGGTTGATTAGTCCTGTTATTTTAAAATAGAAACAAGAATGATTTTATCTTAGAAAGTAAAACATATAGAACCTATATATAGACTGTAAAAATTAGATTTTTTCCAATAAATAATGAACAAAATTGTATATGCAAAAGAAAAATTTGGAAGAAATGAATGTGTCATGAATGTTTGCGAATAATTGGTGAGAGAGCAAAGAAGCTCTATTGCTTTATAATTTCGTTATAGTAGTTTGTATAATATGAAAATAACTTTTAAATAATCTAAAAAACTAGAAAAGCCACATCTTATTTAATTGCATTATTCAGTTTATTGCAGTTAATTGGAACCAAAACTTATTGTATCTCAAAATGTATACTGCGGAAAAAAAAAAAAAAAAAAGTAACAGTTCTATATCTCCCATTCTACTGGGCTGAGGGACAAAATTCAACTTGCATTTTTCATGTCTCGAAAGTGCGACTTAAGTATGTATTAGATTTATATAAAGCATTGTTCTAATATAAGTATTTTGATACAAAATCGGACTTTTTCTGAAATGACATGCCAATTTTTTACCGTATTTCGATTCTAGGATTCAAATTATGCCAAACTGCCAAGTTTGTAAAAATCACACGAGTTGTTTATAAAAAAATTAGCTTTCAAAATTTTATCTCCTCAGTGTTAATTGAATTTGATATATATTTATTATTATCGCTTTTTTTAATTAATCTTATTTGATTTTTTCTTAAATGTTTCGAGATTAGGTTCATTCTAAATAAAATTCGCCTATTTTTATGATTTATTTTTAAAATCTGTATTTTTAAATAATTTTTATAAATTTTTCAAAAAAATGGTGAGTTATAATCTATAAAATTTTTACCATCATTTTAAAATACAGTACAAAGTCTTTAATCCGGAATGATCTATAATCCAGACCTCAAAGCTACAAACTTTCTGCGTATGCGTAGCGTTTACGCATGCGCATAATACCTTTACGCATGCACGTTGAATGTATAACGGACGGTATAAGCTAGGCTAAAATTATCTAATTATCTATTTCAGTTAATATTGCAGATTGCATTGTTCCTTAATCTTCTAATTGGATCCGGCTTATTATTTTTTGCTGACTATTTAAGTAGACTATTTTGCAGAGCAATTTTATAAAAAGTAAGCTTGAAATTTCGATTATGTCAAAAAGAGTTTCCGATTCTGGAGTTGCCGAAGGATCTACATGTTTCAATGTCCATCAAACAAAAAGTAGAATTGCTGCGAAAAATGGATAAAGGCATGAAGAAAGTTACAGAGAGGTTAGTGAAAACGAAAAAATTTCGATTGACAAGTTAGTCGGTATTCTCGGCACAGCAATTTCAAGACTTGAACAGCGGAAATTTGTAAGAAATTATGTCTGTTTATAGAATTAAAGAGAAAATATTAGTACATAAAACGAAGCAACTTAAACAACTTACATTGAAAAAAAAAATGTTTAATAAAGTAAACAAATAAATATTAAGCTTTTTTTTTTTTGTAAATTTTGATACCCTTTAGAACATAATTGCTCGTTATTTCATAAATTACGATGTCATATTTTTAATTTTATAATTTCTGCATGGCATCTTACCAGATTTAAATTGATGATCTATAATCCGGAAAGACCCCTAATCCGGAATCGATGAAGTCTCAACGAGTCCTGATTAAAGACTTTGTACTGTATATGTATTTAAGCGTGCGTGCAAAACTGTATGTGTATTTAAGCATGCATGCAAAAAATTACAATTTTTTATTCAAAATTTCCGAAGATATAGATGAATTTATATATTGGTGCGTTTTGAAATTTGGCATATTTGTTGAGAGTGACAATAACATCAAATGTGGTTTAGGCACTTTGTTAAAGTTATTTGAAAGTAGAAACAATGTGACTTTTTTTTCCGCTTATGCACAATGTAAAAAGCTAGGAACACTGTGACTTTTTTTCCTGTCCGTGCGCAATGGAAAGGAAAGGAAAATAGGTTGTGATATATTAAGAAGTTCACCAAATGAATTTTTCTGGGCACAACCTGAAAAAATTGTGCCAAGATAAATTTTTTAATTTCTCCATAAATATCACACCAAATTGTACAAAATTTAATATCTAGGCATGATTGAGTCATAGAATCGAAATGTGGAAAAAAAAATTGCCATGTTATTTTAGAAAAGTCTGATTTTGTGTCAAAATACCTATGTTAGAACAATGCTATATATAAATCTAATATATATCCTAAGTCGTGCTTTCGAGACATGAAAAACTAAATTTGAATTTTGACAATCGGCCCAGTAGATTTGGGAGATATAAGCTTGTCCCCCCTTTTTTTGCCGCATTAAAATTTTGGAAATTTAACTCTTGTTTTTATTCATTAGCTCCTCCTGAAGATTCAACAAATAAACCATTGCATTGAGAACAATAAACAATTGTATCACTTTAAATCTGAAAAAAGTATTGAAATTATTCTGCAGAGTGCCATCAAACCCCCCCCCCCTCAGTGCGCTTTCGCTTTTGAGACATAGGAAACACAATTTGAATTTTGTCAGTTGGCCCAGTAGAACGGGAGATATAGAACTGTCTCCCCTTTTTTTTACTCCATGTACCTGTACGCAATACGTATGTTAATTATTGCCTGTTTTGGTCAGAAAAAAAAAATTAAGTTTTAAAACTCTGTTTTTAACAATTAAGCGTTTTTTAAAAATTTCTCTTTCAAGTAAGTGATTTCTCTCTTCAACTAATTTTGTTTATTTTTTACAGTATCATTCCCATCTCCTTAAAAATGTCCCCCCTTTAGTTTGTAAGTAGTAATATAATTTGTGAATGTAATAAGTTATTACATTCACAAAGGTTAAGTTACCCATCTGTGAATTAAAATTGTGAAAGTATCGGTTTTTAAGAAAGCTTCCCGCCATCGCAAATATCATCTGCGCAAACAATTTGCGTTGCTGTGTTAAATCATATTTTGTCAAATTATTTTTGGCATTTGAAAGAAAGAGCGTCGCTTTAGAATAATGTGTTCTGAAATTTGCAAAAAAATATCATTATCATTAAGTAAAATGTGTCTGAAATGGAACTATCATGCTACCAGAATAGAACCATGATTTATTTCCTGTTCTGTTGCAAAAATTCAGCTACAGAATATCTCCAAATCATGTGTACATCTTTAGGTGCTAATATTGTATCATATGACACTGTGAAAATTTGCTACCGAAAGTTTGAAAACAAGGACTATGATATTCAAGAAGCAGAGCACTCTTACCATCATACTGATCAGTTGATGAGGCCCGACTGCTTGAACTTGTGGAAGAAGATCAGTATGCAACCACTCGAAATCTTGCTAAGGAATTTAATGTTAGTGGCATGTCCATTAGTCATGCTATGCATCGCATAAACTTGACATAGGAATTCAATCACTGGGTGCTGCATCATCTGACTCAAGTAGGCAAGGACAGACATGTTTAGGCCTGCGCTAATCTGCACAAATATCAGCACAAGGACAAAATTCTGAACCAGATTAGTCATTTGTAAAGAAAAGTGGATTTACTTCAACAACACAGGCGAAAAGTTGGTTGGTCTGTGCCTGATGAGCCCGTGGCAGTGTCGCAAAGTGCAGTATGAGTAACAAAAATATCATGCCTTGTATCTTGTGGGATTGCTGTGTTATTATCCACAAAGAATATCTAGAAAAAGGTAAAGTAAGGTGTGCAGTGAGATGCTAGTCTGTGCTGATGCTGCTATTAAGGAAAAACATCGAATTGAGTTCCGGCACTAAAAGGTAATGTTCCATCAAGATTATGCAAGACCACATGTGTCTGCATTCACTAGACTGTCTACCCACTTGGATTCAGTACAGATTTGAATAGGATATTTTGCCATACACACCATATAGCCCCAACACCGTTCCTTTGGACTTCTACATTTTTACATACCTGCAGCTCCATCTTGCTGGTGCTATCTTCCATTCTGTACAAGATGTCCAAAACGAGGTTGATCTGTTTTTGGACTCGCGGGCATCAAGTTTCTGGGCCGAAGAAAACTTTTGTTACAACCAGTTAACTTCTCATAATTTCTTAATGATTAGTTTGGCACTGAGTATTTATGGGATTCAAAATTATATATATATATATATATTTCAATAGTATGTATTAATTCCACTGAAGATTTGTTTTGGATTTCAAAACATGGAAAAAAAAAAAAAAAAATTCAGGTGAGACTTTGCCATTTTTCTTCCTATAAGGGAATGTATTTGATGCTTAATATATATAGTACAACCTAAAAGTTCAAAATATTAAAGTATTTCATTTCTAACATTTGGCACTTCATGGTGCAGTTAAATTCTTTATATTCTGTAATGTGCTAATATACTTATTATTTTGTAGCAACTGAGAAAGAAAGATCTATGCTATAATGGTTGGAATTCAAAATGACCTGTAATATGTTTAGTTTTTTTTAAGAAGTAGTTTAGAATTATAAGAATGACCAATTTATTATGTGTATTTTTTACTATGGAAATTTTTATTCAACTATTTCAAAGATGGAAACATTTTAAATATAGTGGAATGGTTATGTATATGCAATAATGATGTTAAAATGTGCAAAAATCAAATAGGTTTGAGTATTATTTTTATATTAGTGCATCATCTAATCATCAATCTCTCTAAAGTACAGAATAAGTAATTAATCATTACACTTACAGTTTATATTTAAAGTTGCTGTTAGTTTAGAAATACATTTTCAATTTTATCCCAAAAATTGTTTCTAATTTTTTATATTTCAGTGGCTGAGTCAAGGGCATACTAAAGCAGATCAGTACCAACAAGCAGAAGATGGGAAAACTGAACTTTCTTTGATTCATTTTACGGTATAGTTAATTTCAGCAATTTTTTTTAATATTTATTGCTAATTTAAATTTAAGTTTTAATTTTGTATTCATTAAGATAAAAACCTTAATAACAGAAAAAGTTTGACTTCTAAATAACCAGAAAAAAAGGTCGTTATTTTTATTTGAAGAACTAACCTTGTTCTGTGTAATTTTTTCAAATAACAGTTTTTGCCAGTGAAAGTAAAGGAATAGCTGTTCCTTGGCACTTGACTCTTTGTGCTTAAAATTTAAAAAATCAAAGGCATAGTAATTAATCTGCTAATTATTGTAAAGGAAAATTTATTTATGTATTAGATTTCTCTTGAAATGTTCCATGTAATAGCATTACTATTTAATGATAATTTTTTATCATATTGGTTTAAATCTGAATAATTATTTTTAATTAATCAAACAAAATTATAAAGAGGGTACATGTCTATCATGCCATCTTCCTGAATTTTGTATTTAAAAGCAAAGTAGAACTGTTAGCTATTAAGTTTGCTTTCTTTATATTACTAGAATTTTAAATATAATTAGTAGTTTCATTTATTACATAAAAAATGGTCTAAAAATTAAGCTGAATGTTTTAAAATTATTATTTTGTGTATTAATGTAATTGAACAATGGTGCTTAATAATTTTACAAATTCTATTTTTATCATAAGAAAATATTATTTCAATCTAGATCAGGTTAGTAATTTTGAGTAATTTTTATTTATAAGTGTGTATTTTGTAGCTAAATGTTTTACAACAGAATGAATTATCATTTTAGAACTCTGGGTGACTTTACTTTTTACTAGATGCTTCATTTTATTTTTTCCTACCTTCAAAAGTTTATTGTAGGACTTAAACTATGTAAGACAAACTAATAAATGGTCTGATTTGAATTTCAGAATGACCATATTAAATTGAAATTATATGTTATTTTTTTTATATAGCACTGCAAATGTTCTCTGTATTTAGCTATGAGTTTCTGTATTTCAGCAATACAGAAATTGGTTGGTTGTGCCTTGGAATTGTTGGAAACTGCTCAAATCACTTCATCAACAGCAACATTTTGCTTTTAAATATTTCTCATAGAGCCAGAAAGGTGAAAATCGCTCAGAGTAAGTCAGGATTGGCATTCATTACAACTCATCAATGCCTTGGTTTTGGTGTTGTCATTTGCAGAATGACTGTTTTTCATTGGACAATTCCATTATGTTTCTTATGAATGACCATCTAAACTTTATCAGAAAGTATTGCAGAGTAGTACTCATGTTCAGAAGCTTTACGAATTCACTTGTTATACCATTTTCCAGCTGACCTTTGGAGTATGATGAATTTCATGGAAGTCAGAAGTTGAATGTGCTACTGTTTGTCTGTCCTTTAAAATGCTTGACAATCTAGAGATGACTGTCAGCAAGTTTCAACTGTCTTTTTACAAAAAATTTCATGACTCTATTTCTATACAACCTTATTTTAGTCCTGCACTTGAGACAAACAGCTGGATGCCACCTTGAACAGTGCAGTGCAAGAAAATAGCTGTTAATGTTAACTTCCGTCACAATATATAAGGTTCACATTGTTCATTATGAAATAGTTATTACTAAACTTTAAAACTTTCATTTTTGGGTTAGCTAGAAAAAATCCAGACATTCATTGGATTCACTTTATATGTAAGATAAATTTTAATAATACTTTAGTACTTTCTCAATTGTCATAAAATTGGATGCTGTTCCTACCAAATTTATGCCATTCATACTAGTAGAAGTTTGAAGAAATCAAGTTGTTCTCTAATCAGTTAGATCCATGGTCCTCACCTGGGACGGAATGCAGTCAACCTTTTATTTAGCACTTAGTTTTAGTTTATGTATATAAAAATGTATTTAAGTTTCGGTATTTATCAACATTTTCTGTACTTTTTTTGTTTAATTTTTATAAAACAGTGAAAAATAATGTAAATCTAAATAAATGTTTAGAATGCATTTTTCGAGTTTTGAAAAGGGGTAAATGATTTCTTAGTGATGATGAAAGGGATACATGGAGCAAAATGATTTGAGAACCACTGAGTTAGATAATCCAACAGATATAGATTATGGATATAATATATAAAAAATATAAATAGATATAGGTGAGACTTACATTAGTTATTCTAATAGAAGTGTGAAACGAACTGCAATTAATTTATATCCTTTACAAAAATCGAACTGGATCATCAAGCTGAATTATCTAAAAGTAAGGTAAAGATCTTATAATTGTGTAATGTCATGTTTATCATTTGACACTTAATCGCACTGTTTGGGATAGTTTTTGTTCACCAAAAATGGTGGATAGGAAAGTATGTGCTGTTAAATTAAATAGTACTGTTACTTGAACCATTCACTCATATCACAGAAACATTGTTCCAATTACTAATGAAAATGTTTTAATTTATACATGTAGCCAAAAATTATGATTTATAATGTAGGTGATCAGCTTGAAAGAAAGAAAAAAAAACTTTTCTCATATTATTAGAAAGCAAGTTATTTGTTACAGTAGACATTGGCAGTTGAATTGAAGAATTTTTTACTATAAGAATTTTTTACTATAATTTTTTTACTATATTACATATATAAAAAAGCAGTTTTTAAAACATGTACATTTTAAAATCATCTGCACATTTACAGTATTGGTAATTTTTTTTATGGGACAGCTAGTTTCCTTTTGTAATTAATTAGCAGCAGCAAGTAAAATATATATATAAATGGTTATATGCCTTCCAACTATGATTTCTTTTAACTGAATTATGAAAATTTTAATTTCAGTTAATGAATCCACACTGGCAGCCTCCTCCATCTTCAAATATGTTTATACAGGATTTTAAAGAGCAAGGTAAATTTTTATTGAATCATTAATTTGGGATATATAAATAATTTCTTAATTAAATTTTAAATTTATGTTAGCTTGATACAAATAGAGAATATTTGTTAAATTTAACTATTTATTATATATTTCCAGTTAATGTTGCAAGAGAGCAGTGTACTAATATTGGAAATCCATTTTACAATTCACTTAACTCATTGTCATCTTTGGGAATTCAAGTAAGTATACAGATTTGAAATTAAGTATTTTATATTTTCTTGATTTAGGAAAATAACCAGGTCTTGAATGATACATTACAGAGTAAATTATATGTATATATTATGTATAAGAAATAATCTCACTGAAATACTTGGAGATTAAAGTTATATAAATGTATAAAGAAAGTAGTTTTAGCCATAGTGAATTTTAATATTTCTTTATTCTCAAGGAATTTATTCTTAATATTATGAATTACACATTGTAAGGCCACTATCTCTATACATGTTGTTCATCACATTTGTGTCTTTTCTACATCTTCATAACAATTAATTTCAGTGAAGTTAAAAAAAATAGCTGCAGCAGGTTGCCAGGATGGAAGTGAGAGAGAAAATGTGATACATTCAAATTGAAAGTTTGGTTCATAGTGGTTTTTAGTTGTAGTTACCTCATTGTTTAATAGCGAGTTTCAGTTCTGAAATTTAAAATTGTTATTGTTTAAAGCACTATGTATCTGCATCATCAGCATTTTGCAAGAATTATATGACATGGATTTATTTCAAAATGATGCAGCTTAAAGCTATTTATTATAAGCAGGCACTATTTTTAGGATGCAAAGGGAAAATAGCTAATTAAAATAGAGTTAAGGGGTTTTATGGTGTTATGAATTCTCTACTTAGGTAGATAATTTCAGTGAAATTATATGTGAAATTATTGTATTTCTTTTGTACAGTGTAACATGAAAATCTAAAGGAGTGATGCTTCTCAGAAGAGTAAGAATACAATACAGGGGCAAGTCTATTTAAAATTGAATAAATGGGTATTTTGGTAATTTGGTGACGTATTGCCAAGCTGGCAAGTTTTCCACATGTGTTTCACCAAATTTGGCGAGAAAATGCCAATAGTTGGCAAACCTGGCACCCATTTGGCAACATTTTGGTCTGATCCTTGTATCACCATAAGTATTGTAATTGAATAAATGTAATTGATTACTATATTAGCTGTAACTATAATTTGGCCCACTTATTGGCTTCCAGTAATTTCAAGAAGCAGAAAATACTAGAAATATATTGGCAGTCAGGTGAAAATTATATAGTACTGGAAAGAGTATTTGCTCTCTTGTTGTAATTGTTAGTTCAGAGCGACTTTGGAGAGTTTTGCCTTTTAGAAGCGCTTTGCATTCTTTTGTGTTCAGTGTTTATAGTAGTTTGAAGTGTAACCATGGATTGTATTCTGTGATATAGTGAAGAGTTTTATGACATTTTTTGTGGAAAGTTCCAGATCTCTGAGGTGTGTGTTTTGATAAAATAAATTTTATCACCCTGTCATCGGAACTGTGAGCATTCAATCTATTACGAACTGTTATGCACGCAACAATATATATATATATATATGTATGGGAGGTAGGGATGTCATACTGTGTAAAATTATAAATACATTATCACTGCGATCCTTTTTTCCTTGCCTGTAATATGTCATTAAAAGCTTCTTCGCCTTGGGGAAGGAGAGGAGGAATAACGCAAGTTTCATCAACAAATAGTAGTTTCAAAATTGATTCAGATGCTAATTGCTGAAAACTTTCATGTGCAGTAATGTGATATGAATTTTATTTATCTATCTATTAAATAAAAACTTAATAAGTAAAATTTGCTCTTAAGTCATTATTAAATTTATTTCAGCATCCCATAATAAAATAGAACAGCTGCTTTCTGCAGTTTCTCTTTATTTATTATAAACATGACACATTGCTTTTAGAAAAAAGCTGTTAAAATTATGAAATTATTTTAAAACTTGTTTTACAATTAAATAAAGGAAAGCTATCTGCACAGATTCCTTACAGAATAATTTTGAAATTTGAAGTATGTGGGTTATATATTTAAATTATGTGTAGTAATTGATAAATTTAATTTAAAAGATTTATTGCAAATTACAAGTCATTGAATCTCAATTACTAGTGCAAGTCATTGAAATCTCCATTCCAGTCAGTTTACAGTATTTTGAAATAAATTGTCTATTTATTGCTGCACAGTGCCATCCTGGAAGATGAAACCACTATTTCTAAATCGATCAACAAATGAATAAGTTATTGTGTTCTTTCTGATGTAGATATATCAAGCAGTATTCGTGTTACTTTTAGTGAAATGCATCCATTGTTTAAGGTTGTTGCAAATTAGGGTCATAATAGCGTTGTGATAGTTCATATTTTAATACTAATTTAGTCGTAATTTCTCATTTTGTTAAACACTGTACAAATATCACTGCTTTGTTCGTTACTACTGGAATCTCAGTCTTATGTCATTGATCTGCAGTTTTTCATAATTCCGTTTACCCAGGTCTTTAAATATAATATTAGTTAATCTGTGAAAAATTTTTTAATTCATTTTAAAAATGTAGTATCATTTACTCAAAAAACTAAAATACCTAAATAAATCCTCTTAAAACTGCGTTCATATGCTAAAAAGCGATGACAGGAATTTGATACAAAGTAATGTGAAAAAATTATATTTGTATTTCCATTAATTAATACATTTATATCATGCTCGGTTGAAAAACATATTTTGTTTTTGCAGTATGCAAGTTTAGTGAATAGTCTTCATCAATCTGCTCACCAGAGTCATCCAGGTCCTAATAGTTTTATTAATTACGGAGTTTCTTCAGAAAGAATACCAATCACTGGAGTAACTTGTGCAGAAGGACCCCCCTATCTTGTAGAAGGAGGTCTTTTAACTGGGTGAGTTGGAATTTTGATGTGATATTTTGTACTTCATTTTGTTATTTTTATTCATACTTTTTACTTGCAGTTACAGCCATACCGTTAATTTTGGGTACCATATTGATGCATTTTAGTGTCTTTCTTCAACTTTTTCAACTTGATAGTAAAACCCCCCAGAATTTTTTTTTTTTTTTTAGTCCAAAGGGGCTTTGTCTCTGAAGGACTATTGTTTTCATTTTGTGATTTTGCGTTGGTTCTCTATAAATGTCCATTTCACTTTTCAAACTGTTGTCGCCAAATTATGTTATGTTTATGTTATGTTATATTATGTCATTATGTTTGAAGAAATTAAATAATGAAAAATCTGCGTAAATGTGTGTATATTTTTCGCATTGTGATAAAACACCGGTACATAAAGCCATCGAATTTTGGATGACGTAATCCTCCTACGAATATGGAAGAAAGTGAAAATATGTGGAAGACCAAATTGAAATTTGGAATTTGTTTTATTATCGGTTTCATATTTTGTAAAACTTTAATGAATTTTTGATTAACAATTTCAAAGTTAGCAATGGCAACGTTGTACAGAAAAAACATTTTTATCTCCAATGTGCGAGACTCTGTATTGGAAATTCTAAAGATATGCTCAATTTAAAACTATTTTGCAATATTGTTAGTGAACTGAATTTTATGGTTTAAGTGCGAAGAAAGTTACATTTAATAAATAAAGGTAACAGACAAAATATTAAAAAAAAGCACCCCTTTAACATAATTTAAAATATGAAACCTTTTAGATTTTTTTTTTTTGTGTGTGTGTGTGTGTGTTTTTATTTGTGTATTTATTTTATTTATTGTATCAAATTTTCTTCTCTTCTGCTAAGTTTATTAGTTTTAATAACCAACATTGCTATTTTCATACGCATTCTTTTTTTTATTTAAATTTTAATGTATTTTTATAAACAGCATGATTATTTTCTGTCTTAAAATTGATTTTAAGTATGTGTTTCTGAGATTTGGCTACAGAAAAAGAAACTGCAGTAAATTCTATGCAGAAATAAAGTATATTACCAAAAAATCATAAAACCTCAAATATCTTCTCAACATGTTGACTTCAAAATTTCCACCAGAACAAAAGAAATGAAAACCCACTTTTAAGTAAATGAATTGATTGTTTTGAAAACCTAGTTAAAGCATAAAATATAACAATAAGGTCATTATTGTGTTTCTTTCCTAAAATTTGCCAAGATTGTTGCACTAATATACAGAAGTACCATAAAAACAAATGCAGAATAAAGGAAGGTATATTTATTGCCTATTCAACTACTAAATATGCAAAATTAAAATAAAAAATAATATTAATTCCACTAGCATTCCACTGGAAAGAGGTCCATATAAAAATAACAATAGTCATAAAATTAAATGAAAAATGTATGTATGTGAGCAGTGTTTGTAAAACAATCATTACCAGAAAGAAATCAAACCAAACTGGAAATGCCCAGGAAGTGCAATAAAACAAACAAATAAAGCACCAAGCTGTATGGCTTTAATGAAAAAATACCTGTTTTTTTTTAAGTATTTGCCATTGCTATTACTTACTAAATTCTTTAGTTGTGTGTTACTTTTAATTTTATATTTATTTTCATAACATTTGATAAGAAAATTATTTCAAATAAAGTACTCCTTCTTTGAATTCTGATTGCCTTTGTGTGGTATGCAGTTGCCAGTGTACTGATTTTTACAAATTTTTCATAATTTTTACTAACTTATTTAATTTATTATTTACGTTCTCTTATTTCATAATTAAAACTATTATTTTATGATTTTACATGCAAAATCTTTTTTTCTCCCTGCCCCTTAATGAATTTGACATTATTTTTATAAAAATGCCAAAAAATGTTGAAATATGAAAGTTATTGCTAGGTTTTTGACAAATAATTTTATTAAACTTTGTGATTATTGTCGGATCACTTGATTAAGGATAGTAACCGTGCAAGGTAATTTCTCCTTCCTGCCACATGCCTGTGTAGTTTAATTAGAAAGCACATCCAGCTAGTAATTGGAAGGTTTGGAGTTTGATCCCTGGCAAGGGCATTGCATATTTTTCACATCTCCTGCTACAACAAACCTTATGGTCTCTGCAAGTCCATCGTCAACTTTTGACTTTGGACTTACTGTTGTTCTTCACTGCATGATCAAACAACCCCCCTTTTTTCCCCTAGGAAGAAGGAATATTGGAGCATTTCATCACATCCTTATTCTTATACTCTGCATTGCAAGAATTGGTGATTAATTCCCATTTTATTACTTCAGAGTGAGATCAGATGTCAATTTCTTCACAGCTTTTTCAAGTATATTTACCTTATTGTAATGCTATTAAAGTTTATAAAATTATATGGAAATAAAGCATATAGCTTCCCATTTAATTGTGTTAAAATACCTAATTGCCATGTTTAGCACTTTTTTAGTAGCTGTTAAGCAAAATTTTGTCAAGCCACACAATATTGCTTTGGATGTTGCTGATCATTTCCGTCCACTTTTTAGGAAGATGCTTCCTGATTCAAATATTGCAAAGAAATATTTATATGCTAAAATGAAAACTTTTGTCTTTCTTAGTAAGATGGCACATGTTAACCTAAAAATCTGCTAACTATTTTCAAAAATTTGCCTTCTGCTTGTCTGTTGATGGAAGCAGTGAAAGTGATTCCTGGTTATTTCCAGTTGTCACAGTTTATTGGAATCAAGCAAAGTATCAAGTAAAAAGAGCTACTTTGTATCTTTCTAATTTAATTGGTGGATCAACTGGTCAAAATATTTCAAGGATGATTATTAATAAACTGAGTAAATTAAATATTTTGATATCAGACTCTGTTTCTTTTTGTGCGGATAATGCACTTTTGTCTGCTTATAGAAAATGTGTGGCAACCTTTGCGGAAAACACCAAAAAAAGAAAACAAAGTAATCATTATGGGTGGCCTATGTCACTTAATAAATTTAGCAGAAGAAAAAGCTACTGCTACTTAACTGGTAAACATGGATCAAAAGTTATTGGATATATTCTGTTACTTGAAAGAGTTAAACAAAAGTGTTTAAAAACTTCTAGCAACTTCATGGGAAAGAAATTTGAAAAATATTAAAGTATGTACACATTTCATGAAAGGGCAATTAAAAAGGCTAATTTGAGCAAGGAGATACACTTTAATTTTTTTTTTTTTTTTTTTTTTTTTTTCCATTAAGTAAAATTAAGCAACAAGTTAGAACTATTGATAAAGACAAGAAAGCCCATCATGAAGAACTTGCTTCAAAGAAAGTATGAAAGAAAAGGAAGAAATCTTGCAAAAGAAGAATGAAGAATTTTTTTGTTTGTGTGTGTGCATAAGTGTGTACACATGCATATGTGTTGAAGAATTTTTTTTTTTTTTTCCTTTCAACTGACTTGAAATAGGTTCTTTCTGATTATCTACACCCAATAGCTTTCCCTTAAAAGAGCATTTAAAGGCTAAATGAGCAGAAGGGACGCACTTAATTTTTTTTTAGTAAGTCATGAGTGTTGATCAAAACAAGAAAGCCTGTCATGATAAACTTGCTCCAAAGAGAATGAAAGGGAATGAAGTCGCCCCCCCTTCCATCTGATTTAAAAACAAAATAAGTTCTTTCTGATTTTCCACAGCTCTTGAAAAATATACATGCTCTTGAAATGTCATACTGACATAGTGAATGCACTATGTCAGTGAAAGAAGCAGCCTGTGATATCATCAAATTATATTTATATGGCAACTTAGGTATGTGTGTGCATGTAGTAGATGAGTGGAAATGCCCACCTTCAAATTTAGTAGTTTAATTTTTTTTCGGGGGGGGGGGGTCTTGTCTAGTAAATGGGATCATCACATTTGTCAGCTGATGAAGAGAGAGTGTTGCTTGTATATAGAAATATGACATTTTGCCCAACAGTAGAAAATGCAAATCGTATTTCATGAAGTTGTACTTCTTAAGCAATTGAATTTCATGATCAGAATTTGTGCAATTTTCTGATGTTTCTTCAGATAAATACAGGTCGTTGGGCAGGTGGGGAGAACAAAATATATGCAATGGCAAATCTGAGCAGGTTTTTTTTTTTTTTTTTTTTTTTAAATGTTTTTTCAAGTGAAACAAATCTTTTTGCACATTGGAAGAACAACAGCACATACACCTCCCTCAAAAACAATTTTATGAATAAAAGGTATTGTTCTTTTATGGCATTTTCAAAATGTCTTACTGCCTTTTGCATACTAGCTTAATAAAAATTTTTGGATGGAGGTGTGCATAATCAGAAAGTACAACAATTTTTTGTGTAATTTTTATTTTTGTTTAGTGTAGTAAACTAATATGGTCTTAAAGAATTAAATGTAATGCAGTCTACATCATCAAAGATTCATATACTGCAGAAAATGCTTAAGATAAACTTTTTGCAAGACTTATTAAATTTGTCAAACATTTAGGAGGAGGGCTTAAAGATTTGGGTATTGGAAACTGTACTTGGGAATTACTAAAAAAAAAAATAAAACATACTGAAATTTTTTTTTTTCCCTTCTTTGTAGTATTTTGAAATTGCATGTAATCACATTATCAGAAATTTCCAACTGGAAAATGAAATATTCCATCATGCAGAAAATGTTAACTTAAAAAAGTGATAGTTCTCTTAATAGGACGCAGTATTTCGTGGATAAATTCTCATTTGTACACAAGAAAAGGTGGATAAAATAATCTGTTACTGTCTGAAGATACTGATATGGATGTAATGTTTGATTTTATGGGAATATGTGTACAGAAGATGAAATTCCTTAATATGATAGGTTTACTAGGTTTTTGAGAGCTTTATTCACCATACTTCAGAATAATGTAGAGTTTAAGTGCATTTGTAGTATTATAAAAAAAAGGTAAGGTTCAGATCTGCTGCTGTTTGATAATTCAAACTATTAAGAATATGTTGATTGTCAAATTCAAGCAGGATATTTAGTGTTACGAAGCTGAAATTTCAGATTCTTTTTTAACAAAAAACAAAACTGTCTGCTGACAGTCATGTTAAAATAAATTTGCATTATTGTTTATTTTCTTAAAGCCCAAAGGAACATTAGCTCAGAAACGGCTATTAATCTCGAAATAACATTTCATGTTGGTTCACTATAAATGGCATATTACTTTTTAAATTGTTGCCATCCAATATAATCACAGTGTATTGTATTTAAAGAAATTAAATAATGAAAACTCTGCATGAATGTATGTATGTTTCTCACATTGTGCAAAAATGACGGTACTAAGAGCCATCAAACTTTGAATAATGTAATCCTGCACCCAGATGAGCACCTGGAAGCCCAAATTTGGAATTTGTTTTATTTTCTATTTCATATTTTGTAAAATTTTAATGAATTTTTGATTGCCAAACTCAACAATTTCAAAGCAGGTGATAGCAACACTGTGGGAAAAAAAAAAAAAAATCTTCATCTCCAGCACATAAGACTGTCTCTTGAAAATTCTAAAGATATGCTGATTTTAAATATTTTGTGATATTGCTGCTGAATTGAATTTTATGTGGTCTAAGTGTGAATGATATAAAATGGTTTAAATACGAATCCTAGTTATATAAAATATTAAAGTTTTCAGATTTTTTTACTTCCTTGTATGAAGTAGAGGAAGTATTGTAACCACGAAAAATTTCGGTTATGGTATTTCAATGAAAATATACATTTTCATGGTTGTTGAATGCAATTTAACAGTGTGTTTAAGAGACATTGTACGTAAGGACAGGCACACCTGGCGAGGGACCTCTGTACCAGATCCTCATTATACGGGACCCATTCAGAGTTTGAGATATCCAATGCCTGTGGGATCTCGTTCTCGCGGGCTCAACCCCCACAGTCTCCGCCCGGCTTTTACTAAGCATTGGGCAGAACAAAAACGTTGCTATTTTGATACTCTGTCACCTTGCCTCTGGGCACCAGTCCATCGGCAAAAACCACATTGTAGGCAGGTGCTCTGTTCGCTTTGTCAGCCCCCGCCACGAGAACTGAATGGGGTCAAACCCCCGGGATCTCAGTCAACAAATGTACCATATAGCTCCACCACAGCCGAAGGAACAGACATGACAGTACCAGTACGGTCCCTGCCAAGCCTGAACCAACCTGAGTACAATACTCGGGCTAGTCCTGTGAAGTCAAATTATACACCCCCGTGGTTGAGACTGCCTAGGTACAGATCCTAACCAGTACTTCTCAGGCGTTTGCCTGAGTCAATCCGGGGGGGGGGAGTGTACGTAAGGACAGAAAAAAGGATTCTTTTTCCGGAGACGTATCGTAAAATGGATCAGAAAAGAGTTTTTCGTAATATCTATATGTTCATATCATGGAGATAGGAATAAGAGGAAGCGCCAAGCCCGCACTACAACTCAAGCAGAGCTTTCAAGCTTTGATCTCCAGAGGGTGTGTTTTTTGTTTACATTCAGAGCATTCTTGACAGCGCTTTGCTAGTATTTCGCACAGGACAGTTCCACATAAATCGGAAAGCAGGGTCACTTCTGCATAAAAAAACACATTCATTATTGGGAGGCTAATAGCAGTTTATATAATGTAGTAGCATTTATGCAAAAATCACATCTTGGTTATTTTTCAATAACTTGCAACAGCGATTTTGATTATGAATTTGTTTTATAAAATTCTAAGCTACTAGACTACAGAAGTATAGATTTTAATAACAATATTATGCATAAAGAATGAAAAATACCTCAAGGTACGTTTAAAATATGGAAAAAATATAACGAACTTTTTTAAACCTCAAGCTCCTTATGACCCTTTCTTTCGATATCACTACTTTTATTTTGTGTTCCAAATATCTAAATGTTTTAAATATAGTACATTTTTGGCTTCCACATAATATTATCTAACGTACTTTTTAAAAAATTTTAGAGAAGTGGATTCATAGTTTCTCATTTTAAACTCGTCATTTTATATTTTTATAATTGAAAAATTGCGGTTATATATTTTTGGTTACATAACTTTGGGTTTACATATTGTAACTGAAAATAAAATTACCACGAAATCCTGTAATCCACATCAAAATTAATAAATATGTAGACAGATATGCTGATAAGTTAATGCTAATTTGAAGTGAACCGAACAGAGTATTAATTATAAAGTGACTTTGATTTTTGATTTAAAGGGTGCCTCAGAAGCTAAAATCACCACATATTGAGAAAGTATTTCAGGAAGAAGCTATGTAAATAGAAAAGAAATAATGTGTAATTTTAATACTAATAATACAATAAATTTTTATCTTAATTTTTGTACTCATTAATTGAATAAAATCGAATTACCTTAAAATTTCTTTCTAATGTAATTAACGAAGATTTGTGAAAATGTTTCATTCAAATTAAACTGTTCTGAGCAAACTGTTTTTGGAAAAGTATAGCATTTAATTCCATTCAGAATGAAATGTTGTCATAAAATGTATTCTTTTCACATACTTAAGAATCTGAAATATTGTAGAAAAAGAAAATGTATACATATATTTACAATGTGATTACAAAATGTTTACCACCGATCATGTCAGAGCCCATTGATCTTAATGGCAAGTCACTGAATGTTGTGGTCTCCAATAAGGGGGTGAGCCACTGCTTCAAGGCAGTACACGAGGTAAACCAGTTAGGGCCAATCCTCTTACTTTCTACCTGCATGGTACGTATGTACGTATCTTGCATAACTCAAAAACAAATGGCCTCAGTATGTTGAAATTTTGTATATAGGACTGCTATATCATGTAGTTGTGCATCTCCCTTTTTGGTTATAATCGGCTGCACCAGAAGTATATAAAAATCTGCTCTGTTACTTGGATCAGTGAACTCAGTTTTTTTATTCTTTTATGTTGGTAAATTGTGCATGTTTTTCTTTAAAAATGATTGAATTATGTTGTTCTTATGTTCTTCGGTTAAGGTACTGCTAATGGAGCAGCCATATTTGCTCATATTTGAAAACTTAGCAGAATAGTGAATTAAGTCAGTTTCTGCATCTTCAGTGCCTGTTTGCTGAGTGGGACCAAAAGTAAACTTTCAGATTTGTGCACTAAAATCTGCTTATTGCCTGATGGCTGAATTGCTTGTTTTTGCATAGAAACTCTTAATATCAATTGTAAAAATGTATAATTACTATTCAAATGGAAAACTCTTCGTATTGTGTATTTTTGAGCTTTTATTTTTATTCTGGTATTCTCCTTTATAATAAAATTGGTTTTCAAAATTTTTTCATGTCTGAGATTTTGACTACATGTAAATCAGTGGTCAGTGTCAGAATCAGAATTTGAAATACCTTATTCCTAGAATTCCCTCCCAAAAATTAATTATTCAGCTCTTTAAGAAATGATTTTTTTGTTTGTTTTTTGTTGTTGTTGCTTTTGGAAATATTGAATCATCCAGCCTATCCTCTCACTGCTTCCTGTGAAATGTTATAAATCAGTTCATTGTAGAACTAGCGTGATATTTCAAACTTAAAAAAAAAGATTTTAATAATTTTTTTGTGTGCATAGATTTTGAATCTACTAAGGAAAAGTTAAATCAGTTATATTTTTTAAGCTTTTAATTTATTAGTTAATTCTATGTAGATATGTTTTTCTTTTTGATAGTTTTTTTTCCCCTCTCAAGAAATATGTGATAAGCAGACATTAAAAGAAAAAGCAGAGATAATTAATGCTTGTAAAGAATCTAATTTGTGAAGGTTCTTTTTGCTAACACAAGGAGCATTATGAGTATGTGTTCAAATACTATTATTCTTATTGTTGAAGATAAAAACTTTAAATTCAGTTCACAAGAAAGGAAGAAGAAGATTATTTACCCTTTAAGTATCTGTGAATTGAAAGTATTAGATGGTTCAAGCAATTACAAATCAGAAGTGTTCCCCTTTATGGAAACCTTTTAAAATTCATTTAATCAAAAGAATCAAATCAACAGCAAAATAAAGTGAAAATAATGTATTTACAAGTAAATTGTTCCTTTCTTTCCATAAGTTAAGTCTTGACTTTATTGAGAAAATTTTTAATCAAATATCTTCTTTTTTTTTTTTTTTTTAGTCCATTGTCTGTACTCAATATATCTATTTAGTCAGACTCAGAAGTAAAATTCCTTGAGGGCTGAACATTTACTGCTAGTGAATATAATATATTTAAAATCAGTTTTGAAATATCAAATTTTACTTTATCCTGTAATTAGAAGAAGTTTTGAATACAAAGTTTTTTTATATCCTTTTTTAATCAGAATAAGTTTTGAGTAGTAAAACATATTTGCTAATGTAAATATAAATTCATGGAAAATACATATGATAATGTAACAGAGTTCTGTATTTGAACCTGGTATTACATATAAGCATATAAAATTATATCTTATACAAAAAATATAAAACAATATCTGTAGATTAAAAGTGTCATTTTCTTTATAAATTTTAAAGCAATATTAAAACTTTAGTTATATTACTTCATGATATTTCTGGAATATAAGCATTACAGGTATTTAAACTTAAATACTAAATCTAAAGTTTTCATTTTCATTTTATTATGATTCATTTAGTCAAGCTTTTTAACCATCTTGTTAAATATATCTTTCAGTCTTTGTGGTATAAATGTGAATGGTGAAGTTGGAGAAGTTTGTTCTTTACCTAATGATTTGAACCCTATTCAAATAAGAGCTGCAGATATGAGTCTTAGTGCTTTATACATGCATGAGGTAAGAAAGAATTTCAGTTTACTAACAAATGAATGTTTTTTTTATTAAATTTTGATATTTAAATCATGTGATATGCAGTGCATAATATATAAAAACGTGTCGTTTTACTTTTCTAATATTGGGTAATATAAAAAGTCTCTGTGTTTTTTTTTGCCACTAGATGATATTGATGCCTATATGTATGGTAACACTCACCTGATTGTCTCAAATGAACATGACCATTTTCTAATTTGTTGCTCGTGTAAAAAGTTATATTAATTTGAACATAAGTGAAAGAAATATGCTATGCTTTTTTACTCTAAAAAATAATAACATGCTGAAAATTTTGTGAAGTGTACGGTGAGAATGCTGTGAGTGAACGCAGGACCCAGGAGTGATTTGCTCGGTTCTGTTCTGGAAATTTCGATGTCAAAGACGCACCTCGCTCTAGGAAAAAGGTCGATGAAATTTTGCAACTGGTGGAGCAAGACCAGTACACAAGTTGTCAGGAAATAGCAGAGGCACTAAAAATCAACCGCTTAACAGTTTGGAATCATTTCAAAAGAACAGGCTACAAAAGAAGCTTGATGTTTGGGTGCCACATGAATTAACGCAAAGAAATTTGATTGACAGAATTACCATCAGGGAAATGGTGCTGAAACATAATGAAATGGAACCATTTTTGGAGTGAATTATTACAGGCAATGAAAAATGGAAATGGGTGAAATACGAGAATATTAGTCTCAAGCAGTCATGGTCAAAGTCTGGTGACCTTCCTCAAATGACTTCAAATCCTGGATGGTCACCAAAAATGGTTATGTTGAGTGTTTGGTGGGATTGGAAAGGAACTGTCTATTATAAGCTGCTGCAACCTGGTGAAACCATCAAATCAGCCCTGTATTTTGCACAACTCTATCATTTGAACCAACCAATCCAGAAAGAGCAACCAGAATTGGCCAACTGAAAGAGAGTTGTGTTCCATAATGACAATGCATAGCCACACACATCTTTGATGACTTGGAACAAATTGACCGATGGAACTTGGTTGGGAAGTTTTGATGCATCCACTGTATAGCCTGGACCTTGCACCGTCTGACTACCATATTTGTTTCAGTCTCTGCAAAACTCTCTTGATGGTAAAAAATTGGTCAATCGAAGTGACGTTGAAAATCACTTGGCCAAGTTTTTCAACAATAAACCGCAGAAGTTCTACACTGATGGGTTGTATGAAGCTACCCGAAAAATGGCAAAAGGTCATAGATAATAATGGTCAGTATGTACGTGATTAAAATTGATTTTAACTGTATGTACGTAATTAAAATTGATTTTAACTGTATGTATGTAATTAAAATTGATTTTAACTTAAGAAAATTTTTGTTCAAAAATGTACCAAAAAACCTCGGAGACTTTTTTATATGGCCCAATATTTATCTTTTAGTTGTGATCATTTATCTTTAACATTATTGTCATCTTTCTAGTTTTTAGTTTGCTAAATTCAGTTTTAAAATGATACAGTTTAATTTAAATATAACCTATTGCTATAATTTAACATTAAAAAATAATTTCACAATAAATAGATTGCTAGGAAATGCATGCAAATAATTCAATTATCATGTATGCAAGGAACTTCAGATACAGCCTGCTGATACAGTAGGAAGTCCAAAAATCTGCAAAGCTTGGGACCAGAGGTTGTGCGTATTTCCGAACAGAAAGTATAAATCGTAATATTCAGACTAAAAGTGCAAAATAAATAAGGCGTATTAGATACATTTAATTAACTTATTATATACATTATTACAATAACTTAGTATATGCATTAAATTATTATTACATATATAAATTGATTATATTGTTCATTGTATTATATGTACACAGGATCGAGGTTTGCCAATTTCACCTCATGCGAAGATTTCCAGTTTCGGATTCTGGGGCTAGAATCACTGTTGCTGTAAAATTTCAACAGCTTTTCTTTATTTTTCCGTATATCGTACACAATCGAGTCGCAATTCCATGCGATTCTGCTCTAAGCCGAGGAGTAGCACCTGCCTCCATCTTTTGCAGAATTTGAACTTTTGCATTACCGTCAATGCAACGTGTTTACATTTTTCAACGTTGCAAGTAGTAAAATCATGAGTGCGTTTCTTATCTGTCATTCTATTAAAAAGGGCTGAAATTTAAAATATTCTTAATTTATCCACAAAATCCGGATTAAAAATATCCGGATTAAAAAAAAGGCAGTACTAAATAATCTCATGAAATAACAAAGCTCAGAAAATACAACAACGTGAATCGTGAACTTGAAAGAAGAGTTTAGTGAACCATCTGTTTTTATACCTCAATGCAGATTAGAGGGGAAAAAAACTTTTATCATGATGTCAATAATTTGGTATTTCTGTCATGACTCATTATTATTCGGTTATTATGACGTCATTATTCAGTAAGTATTTTTTCTTTGATATTTCATAATCAATGTTGTGGTTTCAGGAACCTATAAACTGAATGTTTATATTTTGAGAGGCAACGCGGATTTCAGGTCCGCGGATTTTCGGTATTTAACTGTACTACTGTTATTGTTAGGGATAATAAACTGCTTATAATGTGTGATTTTAGAGTACTATGTCATAACATCTTTCCCTCTGAGAATTCTGTGGATGTTGTTCGAATGTTTTCAAAAGTTTTAATGCTCTGAAAATATGCTGTGCCCCCCCCCCACTAATGAATGAAAACTTTAATGCAATAAGATGGTCTGTTTATCAGCCAGCTCTTAATTGTAATTTCAATATTGACTTGTAAACTATGGCTTATTGTATGGTATAACATTAGAATATATTACTGTATGCAGTACCTTGAAAAAGTGATTGAACTTATGGTGTGTGGGTTATGGCATGGTAAATAATCTTCAAAAACATGACACTTCACTAAAACACAAAAACGCTTCAGACACTTCACTAAAACACAACTTTGTTAACACACCTATTCATTAACACATTTATATGTTAACACAACTATTCATTAAAACAGAAAAATTTCTGCACAAATATTTGAACATCTTTGCACTCAAGCTAAGGGCAATGTGTGCAAGTTCGCTGGTCGTGCTGGCGGTTTTTATGTAAACAACATGACCAGGGTTCGTATGGTCCTTAAGAGTCCTTAAAAGTCCTTAAATTTTTTTAAATCAATTTTTGGTCTTTAAAAGTCCTTAATTTTGGACAAAATCAGTAGAAGGTCCTTAACTTTAATCATCTGAATTTTCCCTCTGTTTATACGACTGCCATTTTGAGTGTGAATTAGCATTTTGGAGGAATATTTTTGGCAATTCACTGACGTATATGGTTATCTTTTTAGTGGGTTCATAGGTTATAATTTGTTTCTATTTCTAATATAAATGATGGGATACTCAAGTTTCTAAGCAAGAAGTGAAACCATAATCATTTCGAAATTCATTTTTTCTAATAAAGAACTCTTAAACAACTTTTCGCTTTTGGGGTTGTGAATTCTTTTATTAAATGGTTCTAAATTTGACAACTTGTCAACATTTTGGCGATTTTAAGATCAGTTTCTGTAGAAAATTTTTAATTCCGAGATCTGAGAATTTTTCGGTAATTTTTTTAAAACATCATAACATTGATAAATTTCATTAAAATAATGGTAATATATTAGAATTATATTTAAAAAATAACATTAAAATAAAACATTTGTATTTTTCGCTGTCATATTATAAAGTTTCATTTTGGCAACATATTATACAATATTTTAAATCTGAAAAATAAACAAGGTCTATAGCTTATAAAACAAAATTAGCTATGTAATTAATTAAAATGTCTTCTTTTAAATTTTTTCATAGTAAGCATTTTCCCCATGTTATTGTCTCAGATTATTCAAAAATTCTCAGAATATGCATCAGTTTTCTCTATAAAATTAATTTTACACTTTTTCCTTCCCCCCCCCTTTTTTTTTTCAAAATATTTCTGGCTTTTTGCTGTTACAGAACTGATTGGGATAATTTTTCTTTAGTATTTTTGACATTGCAGCATGGAAAGTTTAGAAGGATTTGAAGGCAAGATTTATAGACTCACAATTCTAGAAGATTCGAGAAATATGTGACAAAATGAAAAATGTTTCCATGGTATCAACATATCAACACGTAATGGATACATTTTACAGGAAGTTTGCGATGAATTTCTTACTTTTTTTAGAACATCTGGAAGAACAATGGAAACATAATATTTGAATGTTTTACTCCTGATACTAGAATCTTTTTTCTTAACATGTTTATCTTCCCTTTATTTTCTCTACTTTTCACTAGACAAAAGCATGGAAAATATCAAAAATGCTTCTAATCTTATCACTTGGGCAGGCATTATAGAAAGAGATTTTTTATTAATAAAGAAATTGAAAACTTACAATTTAAAAGATTCATCTAATGTGTCTAAATGCATTGTACACAAAGCTGGTGCTATGCATTTTCCCACCTGATGCAATCTCTGTGTATCCTAAATTCTGCTGCCTAGTGTCTATCTAAATTCTGCTTCCAATGCCTGCTCTAAATTCTAAAAGTTTTGCCATTTCTATATTTTGTTGTTCTGTGTGTCACTAAATTCTAAAAATTCTGCCACACCTGCTCTGTAACCGGCCTTTACCATATATATTTCATATTTCTTCTCAATGTTCATATTACTAAAGAAATAAAATTACCCGCTTTTTCTGTACATTCTAAATGCATTTAGTGTTTTTTAGAATAACAGAAATCCTTAATTAAATCCAAAAATTCTAAAATTAAAAGGAAACACATTGAAGAAAGAAACCAAATACATAAAGAAAATTATTCTTCAAAGATATGTGCAATTATTATTATGTAAATTACCCAATCGTTTATTATTTCAGCCTTTATTATAACTTTCCATTTCTCAAAAAAAAAAAAAAAAAAAAAAAAAAACATCTGGTAGTTACTGTCTTTCTGGAGGTTTTCTTTCTTTCTTCCCCCCCCCCTCTAAACACAACTCGCCTCTGCTTGAGAATTGCTGGGCCACATTGTTAATTAAAAATTTTTTAATGTGATTTTTTTATCTGTGTTTCAAAATGTTCTTAAAGCAAGACATGTCATTACCATTGTCGATATTTCAGCTATGGCTAACTACTGCTTATCATGGTGATAATATTCTATGAAAAACTTAGTTATTTGATCCACAAATTTCATGGATATCATATAATAGGAATCAAATAACAAATAACTAGGCTTGCTCTTCCTTCTTTTAAAGGCATTTCCTCCATAGAGGATTTTTTTAGGGGGAGGGGCCTAGGTATGCTGTGTCTGAAGGTGATCTAATTCTTGTCCGCTGAGTTCATTTTTATGGTCTTCTAATAATTCCTTCATGTTTTCATTGTTGACTTAGTCATTGGCTAAAGACAGAATGTGATAAATAATGAAAACTTCTTCAGTTCCAGAGTACTTAAAGAGTGCCTGGAACACAGTCTGGTACTCATTTTCTCCAGGATGAATTCAAAGTCCTGTAAGTCATTCGCTGTCAGGTTTTGTCTATAGGATTTAAACAACTGAAAGCATTAAAATTATGTTTCCAGAAGCATCTTGATTGTTAATTCTGTGTCAGAGATTATCTCGAACACCACTGAAAAAGTTCTGTGGTGTAAAGTTTTTTGAAATTCAAAATAACATGTTGAACCATGTGCTGTGTTAGAAAAGTCGTTTTAAGAGGCACCAACTTCATTGTGATGAAATCTAACTCTTCCTTTAATTAATTCATCTGCCAAACTTGGAATGTGATCAGGTGAATTTTCTATCATAAGAAGGCACTTCAATGGTAAATTGTTTTCAGATATGTTTTCACACTTGAGAATGCCCTGCACAAATTCCTCAGCAGCTTTTTGACTCACATCACAGCTTTTCCATGCCTAATGAGGCTGTTCATACCATTTCTTTTCTTGAAGCTGTCAATCTGCACTCTGCTAGTTTTGAAAGTATCAGTATGAGCACTTGTACTAGGTGTAGGTGATTTTTTTTTATGATCATGCAGTAGCCTTCCTTTTTCACAAATGATGCTGTCACAGACATTGTTGCCAGATAACATCTACTAATTTATCCAAATGAGCAGCAATTTGTTCACCTTCTTAAATCATCTGTAATCTTCGTTAAGTATCTTTGAATCGTTTGTCTCTCATTTTTCAACATTAGCATCTTTTGTTTTTTTATTTTTTAGCCTAATGCAGGTCATGGATTTTGCCGTATCATCCTGAGTAATGAAATCAGAAACATGAATATTATTTTTGTATTTGTCTTTAATTTCTTTCTTCACTCCTATCATGACTCTAGTAATTTTTCTTTTCATTCTGCATTTCTTGTAAACAAAGCATAAATGTAACAAAGTCCTTAGGTACTTGTAGAAATCTTGTATTTGTATGCTCACCTTATTTTTGAATCTATCAGTTTTAGGTCTGGTGTATGATGCGCGCCCATAAATTTGTCTTATTTTTTGTAATTTCAGTGTGCATTATACTCCAGAATATACAGTATATGCTTTTTAAGTTCTGCATTAATATCTAATGCAACATCATATATATTTAAACAAATCACTCTAAAAGAATAAATATTCTTTTTAAAAAATGTTTATAGGTTCATAATAGACAACTGCAGTCATGTGGAGCTCAAGGTGATAGAACGCAAAGTACAAATCAGCAGGAAGAAAATAATGGGAATGAAGAATCACCATTATTGGAAATAATAACGTAAGTTATTTCCTTTTTGTGTCATCTGTAGTTTTACGGATATTTTTTCCCCAGCATGTTGGTACTCATATAATGCTGTGCAAGATGTAGATTTCATAAATTGAGTAAATTTTAATTAGTGAAACTGATGCCTTCAAAATTACTTAGTATTGACTAGTAAATTAACATTTAGTATTCTTAAATTGAATTTTGAAGTAATTTTATGTGGTATTAATGTCATAAATTAATGTCAATAAATAAATTTTTGAGACACATTAAATGCAAGCATTTATGTAACGTATTTTAAAAAGTTATAAAAAAGTTTTAAAAAGTTTCTCTGCCTTATTCAAATTAAAGAGTCATTAGGTTGTTTCTTTCGGGGGGGGGGAAGAAGCAGGAAATATGAAAAATGTGCATTGCATTAGCTAGGATTCGAATCTGGACCTCTTGAATATGCACTGAGTATGTCATCATTACACCTGGAAGGTGGGAGAAATTATCTTATATACTCTCCCTGGACTAGTGATTAAGGTACCCAGTCGCCAAATACTGATGGTGATGAATTATCGTCCGCCGTCTTTTAGTTCAAGGGCCATTTATAGAGTCATTAGGTCTTTTTGATGCTGGAAACGGGAAAAACATGCAATACGCTCACTGGGATTCAAACCTTTTTTTTGGCACAATAAATGGAGAAACATGCACGATTCTACACCAATACACTACACTTTCTATATGAGAAGACTAAATGTAATCGGTGGAGTATAATTAAGATACAATAACACGCCAAACAAGTATTAATTTAGAAGTCAAACAGTAAGTCCTGTGAAAATATCAAAATCTAACTCTGGTTTCTGTTGTTTGACTTCTAAATTAATATAGTTGTAGTATATTAGTATCATCTGTAGCCTAAAAAGATGACAAAAGAGTTCTAGATTCGTATCTTAAAGTTTTGTTAATATACTGGGGAGCAGATCGTTTTGTGATCTTGCAGATATGAAGAGCTGTAGTTTAAAACTAGATTATAACTCAGAATTTATTATCAGCAAGAGAGTCTACTTTGCTGAAACTTGACTGAAGTATCACCACCAAACTGTGCAGGTTAACTCTGGGGCTCTGAACATGAAAGGAATACATAATTAATAGCATTCTGAAAATGTGAAGAATCTTGTACATGAAACATCTTTCATATCAAGCTCCTGGTATTTCATGCAGAAGGAAAAATTGACTCTGTCTTCTGCAAAGATGGATTGACTGACAAGCTATAAGACATTTTGTCTTATTTAGTTAATTCTGAATTTAGAAATACAGTGGAACTCAATGCTGAAAATATTTTCGTGCAGTGGTTTTACAGTCTTATTCATTTTCATTTCAAAGAAATAGTTGAAAGTATGGTAAACTAAGGATAGCTGCATCAGTTGATATGAGGGCACAATTACATTAATATTTTATTTATTATTCACAGACTGTTGATATTCTTAATCTTTTAATGACAAAGACATGTACACCTGGCATCAAAAAAAAAAAGGGGGGACAGTTCTATATCTTCCATTCTACTGGACCAGTTTTCAAAATTTAACCATTTTCCATGTCTTGAAAACACAACTTAGGATATATATTAGAATTAAATATAGCATTATTCTAACATAGGTATTTTTAGGAAGTTTTGAATAAAAAACTAATTTTTTGCAGGTATGCTTAAAAATATATCTCTTTTAATATGATGGTAAAACTTTTATAGGTTATAATTCAAAATGTTTTTCAAAAAATTATTTTAAAATGCAATTTTTTAAAATAAATCATAAAAAATGGGCAAATTTTATTTGGAATGAACCTAAATCTCAAAATGTAAAAGGAAGAATCAAATAAGTTTAATTAAAAGAGAAAATATTAATAAATAGATACCAAATTCAATTAACATGGAGGAGCTAAAATTTTGAAAGCTAATTTTTTAAAAACTACTTGTGCGATTTTTACAAAACTTGGCACTTGGTATAATTTGAGTTGTAGAATCAAAATATGGAAAAAAATTGGTATTTATTTCAGAAAAGTCTTTAATAAATAATTTTGAGTCAAAATACCTACGTTAGAAACTTATGTTTTCTGTGCGGGACTCATAATATATATTATATTTGTGTATAGCATTGTAAGAACAATGCTGTATATAAACCTGATATATGAAGTTCAAAGGTAATGTGTAATCTAACTCATCAGCAAGAAGACACGATTTCTACCAAATAATGTAATACATGAAAACCAGCCAAGTAAAATTCTAAGATACTAAGACATTGATATGAATGTAAAAATGAAATTAAGAAAGCTAATTTACAAATATTAATCTCCCTTGTTTGGAGTTTCATAACAGAACTTTTCAAGAGAAAAGTGCTTTGAAACTCCATACCTAGTCGATTGATTATATAGCCAAGACAAATTTCATTCCGACTAATTCACTGAAGCTCGGAAACATTGTTCTTAATCAATAAATCAAGTTAGTCAATTAACAAGTTTTGTTATGAAACTCAAAACAAGGGAGATTAATATTTGCAAAATCACTTTCTTAATTTCCAATGTCTTAATATTTTACTTGGCTGTTTTTCATATATTTCATTATTTGGTAGAATTCATGTCTTCTTGCTGATGAGTTGGATCACACATTACCTTTGAATTTCATTTAAGTTTAGCAGCAATTTGGGCTAATTTTATACTTTTAGTACTTTCGTACTTACTTCATACCTCGTTAACTGTTTCTTTTCTCTAAACTTGATATATATTATAAGTTGTGCTTTCGAGACATAGAAAACGTAAGTTAAATATCAGCATTTGGTCCAGTAAAGTGGGAGATATAGAAAATGTCCCATTTCTTCTTCTTCTTCCCCCTTTTTTTTGTGCAAGATGTGCACTCTGTCTTCTTTATTATTTTTATTTTATTCACAATTACTATCTTATTTTATGTCTAAATTATAATTTTTATGTTTTTAGGTCTAATTATACTCAGTGAGAAATGTTTTCATGGATATTCTATAGTATTGAAAAAAAAAAATTCTTACTCCTTCCACGGCATTATGATTATACTTGAAGTAATTTTCAAAAATTAGTCATGTCAGATTAATTAATTTATCATGCTGCATGTGTGTAATTAAAATTATCTCATTCTTGTATCTACATTTATTTGAACTATAATTAAGAAAAATATTGTTTGTATAATAATGAATTTTCTAATACTTTTTAATCACTGTTCTGTATATTATGACAAAAGAGAATCATTCAGATAATCTTATTCTTTGCTGAGTTATATTCTCATAACTTTTATGAAGACTCTCTTAGATTCAGTGTGTGATAATAGATGGCATTATGTGGAATGTTTTAAAAAGCTTATTTTTTAATGAAAGTGATATTAAAGTTTATATACTTCTGTTATAAAAATAAGTTATTTTTATTTTTTGTTTGTTTGTGTATGTTTATAATTTATTTACTTGAAGTGTGTATCCAAATATCTTAAACTTTATTGATTTAATTAAAAATCAATGAATTTAGTTGAATTACATCTGTATGGAAATTCATTCTGATTTTTAATTATTTAGTAATATTTGAAAATTTTATTTTTTAAGTTATATGAAACATAATGAAAAACCATGGTTATGTTTTCAAATGTTCCTTGATTGTTAATGAGTGTGTAGTTTTAAGAAAATACACGTAAATTCAGCTGCTAATTGTATTTTAATGATTTTGTTAAAATTTTTAAAGAACTTTAATGTTAACCTTCCAAGCAACCATGCCATATATATTCAAAATTATGTTTCATAATAGTGCATTTAAATGCAGCTGCTGAATGTATTTTAGTGATTTTCTGTAAATTTTTAAAGAATTTTTATGTTAATTTTCCAAGCAACCATGCGATATATATATATATATAAATATTCAAAATTATTTGTCTTGATACCTTTAAATACTTAGACATGTATCTTCAAATGTATCCAGGCAATTAAGGGGGTATATATATATATGTGTGTGTAGAGTCAAAAGTCGTTAATCCGGACTCGTCGGGACTTCGGCGATTCCGAATTATCGATTTTTCTGGATTATAGATCATCAGTTTAAATCTGTTAAGATGGCATGCAGAAATTATAAAATTAAAAATATGAAACCGTAATTTATGAAATAAAGAACAATTATGATCTAAAGGGTATCAAAATTTACAAAAAAAAAAAAAAAAAAAAAAAAAAAAAGGCGTATTATTTATTTGTTTACTTTATTAAACATTTCTTTCAATGTAAGTTGTTTAAGTTGCTTCGTTTTTTATGTGATAATACATTTTCTTTAATTCTATAAACAGACATAATTCTTGTTCAGTTACAAAGTTCCGCTTTTCAAGTCCTATAATTGCTGTGTTGAGAATACGGACTAATTTCTCATTCGAAATTTTTTCGTTTTCAATAACCTCTGTCACTTTCTTCGCTATTGGAAGCGAATTATAATGACGAGGAATTTGATTTAAATCATATCAAAGACGGAGTACATCGAGATGAAATACTACATTTAGTAAGGAATTATAAGCCAAATAAAATAAAAACATCTGCCCTGAAGATAAGGATAGTGCTGACAGATCAACTTCCAATTCATTGCGCGCTGCTGCGTTAAAGATAAACAAAGTTTAGATAACCAAACGTTAAAGTTTAGATAAACAAAAGGTATGCCTTTATCCATTTTTTGCAGCAATTCCACTTTTTGTTTAATGGACTTCGAAACATAATTTCGCTTTGTAGATCCTTTACATATTAGTAAATATATCAGAAATTCTATTTGACATAATCGAAAGTTCAAGCTTACTTTTATAAAATTGCTCTAACAGTCTGCAAAAAATAATAAGCCGAATCCAATTCGAAGATTAAGGAACAACACAATCTGCAACATTAACTGAATTAGATAATTTTAGCTTAGCTTACATCGTCTGTTATACATTCAACGCGCATTCGTAAACGTATTTTGCACACGCACATATTCGCAGCCATAAAGGTCTTACGCGCATGTGTCAACGCGATGCATGCGCAGAAAGTTTGTAGCTATGAGGTCCAGATTATAGATCATTCCGGATTATGGGTGCCGAATTAACGACTTTTGACTGTATATATATATATATATGAAAGAAGTCAAGGTATAGAATATAAGAGTTATTTTGGAATTTTAATCAAGAAACCACTTGCTTATAGCCTTTTAGGAAAATTTAGGGTTTGATGGCCAGCTATTGGCTGCTTGCAGGGTTAATATATTTTGTATAAGAGCTGAGCAAATAATGTTATACTTGGATTGATTTGCTTTTATATCATTCGCACAAAGATGTTATATAACTCTGAAACTTTCATAACTCATTTTAGGTAATAGAGCACTGAAGTAAATTAATCAGCTTTGAAGTAAATGTTTTTATTTTCACATTAAATGTCATATTGAAATTCTTTGCAAAATAAATTTTCAACTTCATCTTATTTAAAGATTCGAATGAAATATTTTTTCATTGCCTGAGATGTGACAGAAAAAATCGGAATTTAGTTTTCCAGTTATTAAGTCATTTTCTGTGTTATTAATTTATTATTTTATATTATCGGTTTATAACCTTCAGTATGTTAAAAAAAACCATTAGTATGGATAAAATTATTATAAAAACTATGCAGTCGTAGCTTGTAGCAATTTAAAATTTTGCTTAACTATGTAATTTTTGACAGAATTGCTTTATTTATGTAAGTACGGGGGGGGGGAGATATTGTATTTAAAAGTAGTGAAATAGTGTGTTCTGATGTGAGGACCAAATATTACTCAGTGATAGAGTCATTTTCTTAGTGCATTACTCTGCAAATACTGCATACAGACACATGTAAAATGTGCGTTTGTAATATTTTGTGATGGTGTCAAACATTTATGTATTTTATATATTTATTTGTATTTTTTAGAAAGAATTAGATTAAATTTTACATATATCGCTTTCTAAAGCTCATTTGTGATGTTCTTTTACTGTTGAGCAAATTTACCAAACTTTCTCTTTTTTTTTTTTTTTAAATCACCATTCGTTATTTTTATTTTTGCTTTATTTTAAGTTGAAATATGAAGTTTTTTTCTTCTTTTTTAATTACAGTAAGTTTTAATTTAAATGCTTTATATTTTGAATAGTTTTTGAATATGAGTAAAATTTGCTTAACAGTTGTTCGAGATACAACTGCAGATATGCTTTAAAAACTTGTGCCTTCATAATGTTTGTGCTTATAATTGCTTCCAAGTATCAATTCCATGATTTGCAGAAAAGCATGTATTAGACAAAAGAAATTAAAGACTGTGTTGTATTATGCAACAAATTCAACCTCATGTGCACAAAGCGTGGGCTTCGAAAATTAACTTTCAATATTGTAAGATATTTTTATTAATTTTCTATTTAATTGAATCATATTGCAATTTTGGGCTCTGAGTATTTGAAAACACTTTAATATGTCTTTAAGATAATGATTTTTTTTCAAGTAGAAATATTTTAATTTCTTATGCTTTTTGCAATGAAGACATATAAATGAACATTTACATGAATTTAAATTGTTTCGTGTCTGTGCCCTGAAATTCACATTTCTGAGTATTCTATATTTCATTTGGGTGACAAACAACCAGTTATTTTTATGGACATTTTGAAATTGTTCTAAATTAAAATTTTCTAATTCACAAGTATTATATTCCTATGCAACTATTTTGCATTTTATTATTTGTCTATGTGCTGCATATTTTAATAATTTTTAGGTATATTTTAAATTTCAAATTTAAAAATTTTTCCCGCTTCACCCATGATTTTCTTCAGAATTTTAGTAATATTTTCTTCTTTTTAACTTATTATCTCTTCAGTTTTATGTCAGTGATGTTTTGTTTAAAAAAAAAAACGGTAGAAGTGATTGAATTAAAATAAAGGCTGTTTATTCAATAGATGGCTAATTTTTGTATAATGATGTAAAATTTTTCTAATGTTATGATAATGTTTTTTGTTTGAAGTTATTCTCAGTAAAATGCTTTGAAACTTGCAGATATGAACTTTGATTGAACCTATTTAAATTTCACTGTTATTGTATTACTTTTTTACAAAGAGAAAAAAAAATTACATTTAAAAATTAAAGAGGTAAAATTATGATATTTTTATTTTCACAAGGTTTTAAAAATGTACTGTACTTGAATTGGTTTTACTTTAAGGGTGATTTTAATTAAAGTCATATATCTTTAAATTCAAATTAAAATAATAAATATTTGAATATACATCTGAACTAAGTACCAAGTGTGTGAATGCCATTCTTTAAACTTTGAACATAAAGTGAAAAGTGCAAATTGGTTATTTTATACAGTTTTCTGGAAATGATACTTTATAATTAATTTGAATTGTGAGAAAAACTTATAATTGCAACATTTTAATTGTAAAATGTGCTAAATTCTTAAACAGTATTTTCAATCCCTTGTTGTCATAAGTTGTTTTGTTTTTTAATGCGTGTGTCTCAGCCTGTTTTTCTAAAGGAAGCACTGCTAAACAAAAAAAGTTGCAGCTCGAAATTTTATTTACATTTAGAATAACTTTTAAACTTTGCAGAAATTTTATTACATAGTTGTTTCTACATATGCTCATAATGGAATGAAAAAATGTTTTCCTAAAGTTTGTCAATTTTCTACGTTGCTTTTTTAATGTGTTTTGACCTCTTTTTAATTCTTTATAGGTAATTGTTTCCATGACCTTACAATACATAGTATTTCATTGCTGTTACTGCAATAAGTGGCAACTAAAATTATTGTTGGGTGTGAAGGAATAAAATTTGTTAGGATTTTAAGCACACAAGATATATTTAATTATACTCATACTCACTCCTCTGTTACCTGCCACATATGTGTTTTACAGTAGGCTTAATTTTATTGGATATTTCAATATTTAACTTGTTGCAGTACAGTAATTATTCGTTACTATTGTTAACATTGCATTGGTCTAATAATAACTAATTATTCTCAAGAAAGTAAATATCATTTTATCTTTATTAATATTTGAAGTTTTATTAATATTTGAAGTTGTCAAGAAATATTATTTGTTTTGGAATATATGGCCTTTAATTTTAATAATAAATTTAGTTCACCCCCCCCCCATGGTGGCAGGGAGTATGTGTTAGCTCGTATGAATAAAGGAGATTTATTTGTACATTTGAACTAAAATAGAGCTGCATGGTATTTTTGTATTTTTCAGGATACTATTATTTTCTAATTGTTATGTGATTGAGTAATTCTTTTTAGAGATTTTTGTTGAATTAGAGCTTACTAATTTCTTAATTTTTAATTTTTTGGTAGCTTATGCATCGCTCTTTATTATGTATTGGGTCATCCGGAAAGTTCTGTAGTTTTTTTGTGATGAATACAAATGAAGCGGTATAAAAATATAGAGAATTTTATTGAAACACATAAAAGCGATTTTTTTATTCTAACACTTTTTTCCGGCTACCCGTCAACTGTAAAATTCCTTTCTTAGAAAAGTCATTAGATTTATTCATAAAGAAATTATTGAGCGGTTGTTCTATTATTCTCCAAAAAAGTGAACTGTTTTGCGATTCAGAGAATTCTGAAGTGACTTGGAGAAATGCAAATCTGAGGAAGAAGGTCTGATAAATATGGATGGCTGACATAAAACATCCCAGCCATACTCAAAATGTCTCTGAGCATTCATTGAAATGTGGGTCTGAGGATTGCCATGAGCACATCTTGATCAGTTTTGGGTGATTTAATTTGATGTTTGCATTTTAAACTACCATTTGAGAGTTACATTTTTCTGAATTCATTGGGAACAGTTTCTTTGTAGTTCCACTATCCATTATTTTTTAGGATCCTGTCGACCCCTTTATGTTATTCAAGAAAGTTCTTTTGACTTACCCCCTCCCCCTTTTTGTGTGTGGAACAGTATTGTATAGTATCCACTTCTCATCTCCAGTAATGAGCCATTTCAAAAAAGGAGCTTTACTTTTTTCAGGAAAGAATCGCATGCTAAAACTTGAGGAAGTAGGTGTCGCTTAATGAGACTGCTAGTTCACAGGTATTTTGATAAAGTTAAATAATGAAAAAAATACCTTTTA